GTGTTCCTGAATATCAAGCTCTCACCCTTTCTTCTAATTAAACGATCATCATATTCCCTTAGGCTGCATCAGACTGAAAAACAAGTATTCTTTAGTCTCGCTCTCAGGATTTCAGAAACCTAATAGTTTGTGCGCTGTCCCGCTGTATACATTCTTAACTAGGCTCCCTCTGAGCTCCACGTAGTACTGGACCTTAGGACTGTGCGTGGTGCCAAATGAGTCCTCAATCTCGCCATATTTGGAGAAAGTAATGGCGCACACACCACGCTTTCGAATCCGCCGCTTATACTTACTCTGCCTCAAGAGTCATGTCAGTTTCCCTCGTTCGTTTTCTTTTAGGTAGAATATATCGTTATTAAGCCATAAATTCTAACGCTTCATTACACCCCAATCAAGCTTGCGGAGAGTTGTCAGTTTGCAGCAGAAATTGCAAAAGTAGTATTTAGGTATACAGGTAGAGTCCAGCAGGATTATATCTCTCGGATGAATTGGTCATTATTCTGGGCTTACGCTGCACAGCCTAGTCATCGTATCATTTCATATCTAGCTAAGCACCGGTGGTGCTCTGACCGCCATTATGTCTTGACATACCCCTTTCACAAAGGGTACCTAAATGAGCGAAGTTGAAAATCCGTCAGATCAGCGAATTCCTCATTTACGACATGTTCGCGGACAATTTGCCCTATAATTGGTAAGAAGCGAGCACAATAATGGCCTCGGGGACAATGGGACGAACTTTGGGCATCTAGAGCATCTTGCCTGTCGCGCTTATGATTCCAATGCCGATGGAGAATACCTATTGAAGCCAGCAGAATGGCTGTGAATACCAAGAATGCTAACATTGTGAACTTAGCCGTCTGTTTTCATATTAGTCTCGATAATGCCAATGGTTGTGGGAAACAAAAGCGCACATAATAGTTGGGTGCTTCGTTTGCCCGAAACGTTTGTGGGCCGCAAATGTTGCCAACCGCATATCCAAGCTGATAGGACGCGCCAAATGCGACCTTTTTGGTACTCCCACCAACCCCAGCCGTAATAAAAGCGAGGACAACCAATATCGCATTTGGGTCTAAAAACCAGGAGGTTAGTAAAGTATCCAACAGTGGAGTGGATCACCTGGTGGAGATATTTGTGAAGACGCACATTGCATTGTGAGGATGTAGCCTCCATATCGAGCTGCATTGGCTTCTTCCGGTATGGTTAACATCATAATGACGCCAACGCAGCCCAAAATCATTACAAAAATACCACCAAAAGTTCTATTGGTACACTTTATCACGACAGTGGCCAGAACCGTGCCAATAGCCGCGCATGCTCCTGGAGCCATACTGAGGAGGGTGGTGGTATTAGTGTCGAAGCCGAATCCCGAGATGATGGTTGGCCCTGCGCAAAAAGAAATTGCTAGTCAGCCAGGAACGCCTCCTAGAGGCAGTGGACCTACCGAATGCTGTCAAGCCACCATTGGGAAGCCCCGTTGAAACCATCACTAGAAAGATTAAATATAGACGAGGATTGCAGAAAGACTCCTTTAGTTGGTCCCAATTAAATGCCCACATCTCAGCGCCTGTCTTGTTAGCCCGGACTCTTTCAAGGGCAATGACCTTTTCATCGTCGGATAGCCAGCTAGCGTCAATGGGCGATGCGGCAAGAAGGAAAAATATTATGACTCCCGTAACAAATGTGAGACCGCCATAGAATATGAAAAGACTTTCCCATTTGAATCCAGGGGCTTGGTTGATAGCCCAGGCAAAGAAGCCTCCAAACACCTGAGCCCAGCCGCTAGTTGAATACCAGATTGCAACTCGGGTAACTTGCTCACTGTGAGTGTACCAGGAGCTAGTGATATAAAGGATAGCAGGCGTTGTGCATACTTCAATGGATCCCAGGAGAAAGCGAACAGCCGCCAATCCCCCAAAATTATGGCAGACAGCGTGCAAGGTGACAACAGTCCCCCAAAGCATACTCATCACACCGAGATACTTGGCCATTGGCACGCGCTGCATTAGAAATGCCGCCGGGATCTCACCGAACATATACCCGAAGCTAATTAAATGAGATCGTGCGTCAGTGATGGAAGAGAGTTTCTGAAGGTGATAGGTGTCCTACATACTAGACGATAGAACCTAGCCAGTCGTACTGATCTCCAGTGAGGCTTGTATCCTCTTTGATTCCCATCAATGCAGCGTAAGACAGGCTATTTTTGTCCTGCGGTATAGGCAATTAGGTACGACGTATAAGACAGTCCCGAATCTATACTAACGAGTAGCTGTAGGGTATAAAGCCCGAGTACCAGTGGCATTATTCGCATGTCAATCCTGCGAAGTACCTTCTTGGCTGCTGGGGATGCGATATCGACTTCAATTCTTTGCTCTGCAAGAAGTTTGAGGGCGTTTGAACGTCGAGCCTCATCCAGCTTGATTCCATTGTGAGCCAGCTCTGCAAAGCCAATTGGACGATTGTATCCCTAAAGTAGTCAGCGATAATTATGCTTGCTACGTCAATGTTGATCAAAGGTACTTACAACTCCAAGTTCGACGTCTCCATTGCTGATTTCGGCTTTCTTGGTGTCCGACATATTGGGGACAAATCACATGGATAATTTCGTTCCATGTCCAAAACAGACGCCTCTGCACACTGTAATATAAACTCTGTGGCTACTATTCAATCTAGAAGTGTGACCAGTTGATAACTGCAGCTGAGGAGAAGCGGCTATTGCACCGATATGCTGATAAGAGCATTGAAATTTACCCAGAGAAGTACCGATCTTCGACAGCTGGGTACGCCGCGGTGTTTCCGTCGGATATGGGCAATCACGGCTATGTACCGTTGGGTTATCATGTGGAATGAGATGTACTATAGAGAGGGCGAGATTTATAGCTCAAAGATCTCCATCATAGTAGTTGATTTCGACCGCCCAAGTGGAAGCATTATTCTATATCTTCTTACTAAAGCATCATAAGCTCCAACCGATTAACAAAGCGTTACCATAATGGCCGAGCGTGTGGTACCTGTTATTTCTCTCAACGGTAAGTGGGAGGCCGTTGCTGAGCTTAAAAGATGCTAACACCGAGGACTCCCTGGAGTAGACTTCGAAAGAAGAAAAGATGAGATTACCCAACAACTGGTACATGCTGCCGAGACAGCTGGGTTCTTGACACTGGTAGATCACGGAATTACCGTCGAGGAAATCGAGCAGCAATTTGCCATATCGAAGTCCTTCTTCGACTTGCCATCCGATGTCAAGGGGAAGACTCCTCATAGTAACGTTACTAACAATGGGTGGGAGTACAAGGCAAGCTATACGTCCCTGCAATGGGGTGCGAGTATTATATACTGACTACACAAAGGCCCAGCTGCGCCCCAGCACTGGCATGTATGACGAGAAGGAATCTCTCTGGCTCCAACGTGGGTCGGACTGGCCAAGCGATGAGGATGCCCCTGGGTTCCGGGATACTACTGCTCATTTCATGGCGAAATGTGCGACAATCTCGGAACAACTCTGTACGTCTTGCTTCAATGGTGCATTCTGTAGTGGAAGCCTAACCTGTTCGGGCAGTTATCTGCTTTGCGACCGCACTGGGATTCCCATCCGATTATTTCTGTGTCGCGAACGATGTGACCAAGCCTGACTGTCTCACACAGCTGCGGCTGATCCATTATCCACCAACAGTAGATGCTGCTGGTACCTGGCGGGCTGGAAGCCATACAGACATCGGGTGTCTTACCCTACTATTTCAGCGAGATGGTGAAGACGGGTTGGAGATCTGTCCTGGCCGTGAATCGCATACGAGTTTCGCAATGGGTGACGTTTTTAGTCCTCTCCCTGCCAAAACCGGGCAGATTGTTGTTAACATCGGTGACATGCTGAGTGAGTCAATAATCTTGTGTTGGATTATATGCAGTGTACGTGCTCTAACATATCTAAATCTCCAGTGGCGTGGTCAGACGACCGCCTGAAATCTACCTTCCACCGAGTGCGAGCGACGGATGTAGGAGAATCGCCCTCACGTTACTCGATTGCCTATTTCAACCAGGGAAGGCGTGATTATATCATGCAAGGCCCACAAAAGAAATAGTAAGTTTATATATCCTAATGTGGGGGAGCATCTTACTAATTCTGGACGTCTTCCAGTCCTCCAAAGAGTGTAGGGGAGTGGTTCAAGGAGTCAGTAGATCGAAACTTTGCATACCAGAAGAGTGTAATTGCCAACTGAGAATCCGCTTGCAACCGCGGCAATTACTCTACTACGGTATTCTATTAGCAGACAGGTCTTTTCACTCGCTCTGCATTTATCTACGTACATCAGATTACTTATGTGGAACGTTCTAAAGCTAAAAGCAAGCCCAGCACATGTGATGTATCTATGGAAACCTAAATACTATCCTTGATAGTTGCTTGAATGACATTGGCCTAGTCCGAGGTATACTCTATGTATGCTTTCAAGGATGACTTGCTATTAGGGTATCCTTAACGTATTCGTCCGCCGATAACCTTTTGGAAAATTGACAGGCTATCTTTCCTGGTATGTAGAGCCTACCACGATTTCTGTTGATAAGGTATGTTTCCCGGGTTGTAAAGCAGCACTTTCGATTAGAGTCTTACACCTACCTGGGTTGGCTGGATCACTCTAGCTAGACCTCAGACTGTTAATAGAATCTTCGCAGGTAGATCGAGACACCTCGAAAACACATGTCAATTTGACAAATGGATCTGCGAGGGTCAGTAGAAAGACCTTGCCGGAAATTCAGAGTGTACGGTCTTTCTTATTGCCCATTCAGTTTGCTACAATGATTTAATTACAAGTTGACCGACAGAACTCTTATGAAAACAGGCAAGGTACTACAAGGCGACCGACTCGCTCCCCTGCTTTACCCATATGGGTCAAATTCTCGAGACATCATGAACGTTGAGATTCCTGTAAATGCGGGTGTCTGCTAGGCTATTGAGTCTAGCTTGATAGTAATATCACAGATAAGAGCTCAAATTGATATCTGGAACTCTAATTCTCACTACGGTCCTTATCACTTCTTGTTGTTGAATATTCAGAGGCGGGTAGAGCGTGGTGCTTCCCTATGCCTGGTCTCCTTCCCATCTGTCAAATATCGTTAACGAATTTCACCGTTGTTGTTAGGTTAGTGATCCACAGAAAGCGTACGCTGAATTCGTTGATCGACTTTTGCCACACAAGACTGCATGAAATCCAACAGTCTTTCCGCCTGTGCGGAATCTGCAGTTCCAATGGATAAGACGTTGCTGTTGAGGCATCAGACCCGACAATGGAAGACATGGGCTAGGTGAAGATATAGCTAACCTGACATGATTATGTCTATCCTGTACATGAAACATTGGTAGCGTTCCTGGAGGCTTACTCCGTTCACGATAGGCATTGAGGAAGGCCACAGTGGCATCGGCCGTCTCTTTTCTGGTACGTTCAGTTATTGCCAGGTCAGCTTTGCCTACTATGATGGGCACTTCGTTTAACATCTCCATAACTTACCAATCCCATTTGACACTTCCGATATAGACTGGCAATTGCTCAGAATCCCTGTTCGATTGTCAGCACAAAGTATTTGGGCGTCGTGTCTTCATGATTAGAAGTAAGCTTACAACAACGGAGAATCTTCTGGCAAATTTCTGAATAGTCCCAGGGCAGAAAGAGGCTGTAGCGTCCTTTAGACAGTCTGAAAAGCCCCGAGACTTGATTTAACTTACACCCCAAACCTCCTCCTCGTCTGACCCCCAATAATGGCGAATGACCCTCTGTCGCACAGGCTTTCTCCTGTCAAACCAGAACGGTACACTTAGGTAAATGACTCCCGCAACAGGGGGGAATAGTGGGACATTGGTTTTCCGTTTTGGATCCCCTATATCTTGAGTCAGTAATGAGTGAAGGTGACAGTTGTCGAGGAATTCATCACCTGCGGCGTATAGATTCATGGCAATATGTGCTCCACCGGACGAGTGACCCAAAAGGACGACCTTCTCCGGTATTCCTCTCCCATACTTTTCCTTTGCAATATTCTCAGAAATCCATTCCCGAGCCAGCTGCATATCATCGGCCCCTCCAGGGTAGACGACATGCGGGACTAGTTGATGATTTGCGAGAACCGTGACAAAACCACGCTGCGCAAAGAAGAATCCCACATTCGCCCAGCACTTGTGTCAGCGGGTCAGCATTCGAATAGGTATTGTCATTGCAGCGTGCAAGTACCTTCTCACTCCATCCTTTGTCTCCAGAAAAAAATCCACCTCCGTGAACGTAGAGCACAACTGGGTATCCTCCCGGCTTCTCCTCGAGAGGGAAATATACATCCAGTCGGTTACGCTCGGCCGGTCCGTACGATTCGTCCTTCACTACGCCGACATTGTCCGGTGCCTCGGGATATAAAGGTTCGTATAGCTTTCTCCAGCCCTATGCCTCGTCAGCTTCAAGCTGAGGTTATCGTCTGGATAGTCAGGGAGTTGTACTTCTTCATCTCCAAGATCGAACTTGGTGGTATCTTGTGCTATCTTGGCGAAGATGTTCTCCATGATTTCTGTCCTTGAAGTTTGCGTATGGTTCGTATGAAAGCGCAACTGATTCTAAGAAATAATAAGACAGAATGGGTATGCCGCAAGGGCAATATCCGTGCCCCACATACTGCTGCCGGCCCTTAGCCGAGATAAAGCATGACCCTTTTCCGGACCGGAGTAACCGTGTTCGGTGCACGACATTTCAATCAATATAATGAGACCATTGCTTTAAAAAACCAAGTAAGCAACCACGGCTGTTCATTTTGCAGCGACAAAGAATTGATCTCCCAGATTACGCGAACATGTTTACCAGGCGAGTCAGAGGAGTTTTTGAACATCGCAAGCAGCTGCTAATACCTTCTAGAGCCGAAGTCAGCCAGCAGAGTTCGAAAGGCCGATGTTTGGTTATCATCAAAGGGAATGTTTACGACCTGAGCTCGTACTTGGACTCTCATCCCGGAGGGTCGAGTATCCTCCTACAATATGCTGGGCGGGATGCAACAGAAGCATTCGAGCCCATCCACCCAGATAACGTGATTGAGAAACATCTATGCCGAGAGTATGAGAAATACTCTGAGCCATCATTATTTTACTGAGCGTCTGTACTGATATGGAAATAGGGCCAATCTCGGCCCCGTGGCAGATTCCGATATGAATACCGCACCAGTCTCTGCACCAATTAAGATGTCTTCATCGGCAAGTAGTCTCGAGAAGAGTATCCCTTCACTTTTGAGATCCGTTGTCAACATTGATGATTTTGAACTTGTTGCCTCTCAAAAACTACCCGCGCGCTCGTTTGCCTGTAAGTACCACTAGAGACACAAGATACTGTAGGTAGCCATGGCTAATCAAAACACTTGGAGCGACATGCAGTCTTTAAATCTGGGGCTGAAGATGAAGAAACCGTTAAATGGAACCGTAATAGTTGGAAACGTATTCGCTTTTGTCCGCGAGTCCTAAGACCTATCCGGACCATCGACCTAACGACATCCATTCTTGGTACAAAATACTCTACGCCATTTTTCATCTGCCCTGCAGGAGGTGCTAAACTTGCTCATCCGAGTGGGGATCTGGCTTTGACCAAAGCTGCTGGGAAACATGGCATTCTTCACTGGGTCCCAAACAACACCGGTTATTCGCAGAAACAATTGGCGGATGCGCGTGCGGACACGCAGACATTATACTGGCAGATATATGCTCTGGAGGACCTTTCCGTGACGGAAAAGGAAATCAAGCAAGCTATTTCTTTGGGATACCGGGCGTTTGCTTTGACTGTTGATGCCAATCGAGTCGGCAAGCGCGAACGGGATGTGCGTTTAATCATCAAGGTATGTATATCTATCATGTGTGGTTCTACTTACAGAATTAACTGTGTTTTTCCACAGGAGGAGGAGCTTGCTGGGATTCAAGCGGATGAAGACAATGCGTTTGCAAGTGGTCCTACAGTTTCGCGGTCGTGCGTCCCCAATAAGTCCGGATTTGATTGATGAGAAGGATATCTAACTTAAAATAGCCACATATTCCCCGACTTCGACTGGATGTCCGCAGTTACGTGGTTACGGAAGATAACAGACCTGCCAATTGCGATAAAGGGCATTCAATCCTGGGAAGATGCCGCACTATGCATGAAGTACGGAGTACACCCGTGGCTGTCAAACCACGGAGGACGACAGCTCGAGGGAGCTCCCTCTGCTGTGGATACTCTTCTTGCAATCCATACACATTGCCCCGAAGTGTTTCGCCGTTGCGACGTTATTGTCGATGGGGGTATCAGTCGCGGTTCTGATATTGTCAAAGCTCTTGCTTTAGGTGCGAAAGGCGTCGGACTGGGAAGAGCTTTCCTTTACGCCTTGGCGCTTGGCGAGCTGGGTGTCGACAAGGCAATCAGAATCCTGAAAAATGAGGTTGAGACGACGATGGCTTTACTGGGAGTTTCCAGTATTGACTCACTAGGTCCTTCTTATGTAAGTTGGGTTCAACGAGAGCATTCTCTCTTAAATGTCGCCATCATTCGCTAACAGGAGGATTTTTTAACTGGCAGATCAGCGCATCTACCGATCATGATAGGCTTCCCCGCAGCCGCTCTCATCTCTAGTGCATACTCATAAGACTACGGACAGCATTGCTTTTTCAACGGTGGGGAGAATTCAGCGAGGGAAGACCACTACGAGGCTTTAATTTCTGCTAGACTTTCTGTAGATAATATTCTCTCTCATCTACCTAGTATTCAAACTAGTAGTCTGATTAGGCCACCCGTATAGCAGGATCTGAATGTTAGAGGGAGTAAACCATTTTGCGCATTGTAGACATGTTTCATTGGTAAGCATGGTGAACACAGAACCCCAAACACCCAGACTTGCGAAGGACTATCAAAATGGAACTATCAGTTTTACACCAGAAACTGTCAATGTATCTGAAGGGAATAGCTTAAGTGGGGTAATACATAATGATACCATCATTGAGCCTTCTGCTCAGTGGGAAAAGACCTAATGTCAGGATAAGTACGGATATGGGAGCTATTATGCGGCTGTTGTCTTCTGGATATGGCTCCTCCCGTGCTTGTGGGGTTATCCGACGGAGCCCGATGGCCCATTGCTCTGTTCCTCGCTATCGGTGAAGTTATTAAACCCCATGCCGGAAGTATGCTGGTTGTAGATTTTCGGGTGCGTAACCGAACAGCGGCGGAAAACGTACCATCGCTACCAACTTCAACGGAGCTCCCAGATCAGGAACTGATGCGATACCCGGAAAACTGGCATTATGGGCCGGCAGAAGACGTATCAGCTGTTGAATCTTCGTACATATCATATCAAGTACCGCGGCACTCTCATAGCATTGCTTGCTCACTTATTTCTAACTCATGACTTCCCACCTACCTCAACAGTCGTAAGCTTTGATATGACATCAATTGATCCTAGAGAATACGCAAACATGACCACACAAGCAATTGACGCTCCCCCCAGTCTCCCCGTGCCAAATCAACAAGTGCATGCACCGGGCGTCTACTTGCTAAATCCCCTGTCACGCCTCGGCTCGGGTCCTGGTATGATCATACTGACTTCTGGGAGAGACCTCGGAGGTGTGCGTCTAGACGACGGAGTCCCTTCACCGTTTCTGAAGTGGGCTGAGGAGGGTTATGCAGTGGTGGCAGTGTGCTTAGGTGCTTTGGAGGGCGGTCAGGATGGCATATCCTCTGCCCTTGAAGCGTTGTCCGGTTGCAACATGTGCCAACCCAAGGGAAAAGTTGGACTTATCGGTTAGTACAGCCCTCTTGCGACCCTGAAGATCGCAGCTGACATTTTTGCTCCAGCATACGACCCCGAGGCATGGTTGAAGGTCACTGCATCAGCGCACGCTCACCATGAGATTGTGGGAGCGGTGGTCTATGGGAATGTGGATTTGCTGATTCCCAAACCTGTCTTCCCAATGCTTCAGCACCTGGCAGGAGCATCTACGACAGCCAAAATCGTGTCCAATACTGGAAATTCTGAGGCGTACGGATACGCAGCTGTCAGTACATATGAGTTTGCGACCCCTTTCCAGCCGACGTTCGACTATACCGCCGAGTCTGTATCCCACACACGGAACCTAAGCTTCCTGAAACCCTTAATAGGAGGCCCATATTTTGATCTGGAGGCCATCTGGGAAGAACATACGTATCATGAGTTTGAGACGCGCTCTGTACCTCATACGATGGCAACCATGGTGCAAGAACCGTATGTGAACCATATACCCACGGTAAGATCCAACATGCCCACCAGTTGTTACCAGACTCCTTCCTATCAGCCGCGTACTGAGACCAGTTGCAGTTAACGGGAGGGATTGGAAGGGCTCGCCTTTCGGAGTTCTACCAAAACCACTTTATTTTCGCGAATCCTGAAGACGCGGAACTTGAGTTGATTAGTCGGACGGTGGGTATCGACCGTGTCATTGATGAGTTTATATACAAGTTCACACATGACACGCAGATTGACTGGCTGTAAGTTTTTTTTTTTTTTTTTTTTTTTTTTTGTTTGTTTGTTTTTCTCTGCTTGCTCTCCAGAAACTAATATGGAGCAGGCTACCTGGTATCCCACCCACCGGTCGCAAATTAGCAATACCATTTACCGCAGTCGTCAACATACGGGGTGACCGGCTGTACCACGAGCACATTGCGTGGGATCAACTGACTGCTCTGATTCAGTTAGGTCTCATGCCCGAATATCTTCCTTGGACACACCCCGCGCCTACGGGGGTGCAAATGGGCACCAAGGCCAGGCTGGAGTATCGAGTACCAGGAGCTGGGCGAGACACAGCGAAGAAGATGAAGGATAGGAACTCGGTGGATTCGAATGGAATGTTTGGGCACGCACTTCGGGTTGTGGACGCTCTTCAGCCGGCTGTGTTTCCCAAACTCGCTTAGCGACGCTCTTCTCGGTGATGTGGACGCAAAAAGGGACCGGGAAAGGGGCGGAAAAGGGGACGGAAAATGCCGCCCGCCCGGCTAAGGGACGGTATGGGCCATATCTTTCACCCCGAGTTCTTTACAGAGACTAATTATGCCCAAATCCCTTCATCAAAGAACTGACCTAGTGGGTAACTTATCATGGAAGAAATATCATACGCTTCCGATTGTCCCCGTCAATGAAAGCCAAACGTAAACTCCTTCCACCCTCCACTATCAGGACCTAAGCACCTCACACCAGCGAAAAAGCGAACACAAGACCCAGATAAGACTCGTAGACGTCATTCTCGCCTTTGGCTTTTCCCTATCTAACAATCTGTAGCATCTCGGACGTATCGCAGCAACGCCCAGCCTCTAGTGCGGGGTAGGATTTGTGCCCCTGAACGATCGGAAACAGATAAACATTGGGAGAGTTCAAGCAGAGCCACTTCTGGGTATCTTTCTGGAGCCCTCCCACTTCCATGGATAGAAGTCTTCTTTATACGCAACCGGCAGCCCTGTAATACGTCTTCCCGGTCATGCCACGTCCGAAAGTGCGTCCGGAAGATCGACAACGATCTAGCCACGCTTGCCAGACCTGTAAGGCCCTGAAGATCCGGTGCGACTCACAACGTCCATGTTCCTCGTGTATGCGACGGGGACAATCTCATACATGTGCTTATACCGGGATGGACCGTCGCAAACGGAAAACATGTGACGCTGTACAGAATACGCACAGCCGCGCCATTGACGGGCGAGATGGCTTCTCGCAGACGGATAGTGTTACCGCTGGAAATGATAATACACCATTCGAATTAGATGCTCTAGTATCTGAGATGGTCACACCCGAGTCAAGGACTGATGATCCTCGTCCTCCCGAAACATCTTTGCGTGAGCGGTTATCTTTAGGGCCAGAGCAGTCATCAAAAGGTGTGGAACTATCCAGGACGAGGCAAATCCAGAACCTTGAGAAGCTAAACTATGTTTCGTGGTAGTTGACGTGGGCGAGACCTCCGCTATGTCGTTCTTACATTTCCTCCGGAAAACTGTCAAGGCCTATGTGGGCTCGGTGCCTTTTACGGATGCGGAGCGACACCACATCGTTATTGACACCGATTGTTGTTCTACAATAGAGGCCGATGAAAATATCGAGCCGAAGAGAATACATACATGGATAGATTTTTACAATGAAGCAGTAAGTAATTAGGATGGAGCCTCTTAGTGTTCTTCACTAAATCTTACTCAGACAAGCGGAATTCTGGATCTCTTCACAGCCCATGAGGTAGAAACCTTACTAGCAGCACACATCTCTTCGCGGCAGTCCGCATCTATTGCAGCTGTGAGGCGGGAGGACGTCACAGCGATAGGTGTTGCCCTAGCTATTGGTGCCCAAGTTAGAGGATCAGATGGAGACTCCGAGATAGCGAACGGGTACTTCCGTCGTGCACGGCAGGCAGCGTTCAACGACATGCTGATGGGCCAGAATATCGGAACAGTACGGCTTTTTCTGTTGATGGCATTTTATATGCTTGGCGCCTGTCATCGCAATGCCGCATCGATGTTTCTTGGGGTAGCTGCACGAGCAGCCATAATCCTAGAGCTCCATACCTTTGAAGGTTACAGCAGTACGCTCTCTAATGAAGATTATGAAAGCAGGTGAGTTATATCATTTTAATGCTAGTGCTGATGACAGACATTAACAAAATCCGGCAGACGGAGGATCTGGCATAGCATGCGTAATCTTGATATTCTCAGCAGCTTTGTACTGTCCAGGCCGAGAAGCCTCCCCCTAGTGCCAAGTATGCCGGACACGAATGAGGAAGTAAACCTTCAGTCAGCATTCTATGCCGTTGGCAACGGATGCACCTTGCTCAATAACATCGTCGACACACTCAGCAAGGGCGGACTTCTTGATGTCCCCACGGCCGAGGGCCTGCTTTCCCAACTCCGGAAATGGAGTAGCGGCCTACCCACAGGCCTCCGCCAGTTCCGGAGTGTTTCCCATAGCTTACCATTCCTCGAACCTGGAGATCGACAGCGACTTGTTGGAAGCATTCATGTTTCCTGCCTATACTATTTTGCGGTAATTCTCGTAACCCGGCCATATCTGATCGCGTATCTCACGTCGCGTCTTCGTGGAAAAGCACCGGACCATTTGATCAGTGACCCGGACGAGGCCTCTGATGTCGCTATAAAGAACAACAAAGTATCGAAATTGGCCCAGGTGTGCGTAAGTTCGTCCTTATACATGATAGACATGTGTCGGCGGGCAAAATCGGCAGGGCTCGTTTTTCGAAACTTTTGCCTCCTCAAGTATGCCCCCTTTTACCTCCACGCCTATTCAAGCTTTGATTCCCCTAAGTTCATCTTGAAAAGTCTCGATGTTAATGTCTCCTCATAGAGCTTGGATCTTTGGCGCTGGCCTTATCCTAGGCTTCTCCAAGTTTGCTGCAGAGCCACGCCGTGACATTGAGAGTCTCTTCAACAGCAGCTTACATCTTCTCGATGATATTGGCCGCACTAGCCCGCAGGCCCAGCTTTATCATCAGATCTTGACTAGCCTCAATGATGCAGTGGCAAAGTTCCGCAACCGTGTCGCGGGAGAGGTTTACCGCACGGTTCAGGACTATATGGACCAGATCCTAATGATAGACCCAAACATGGACGGAGATACTATTGCGCGCTCCAAGGATAGTGAGGATTCGTACCCTGGCTGGAGCGATGATTGGCTGGCGGGTGCAATACGGGGTGTTGAGACAGGCGACATTGCCTTAGATCCCGTCTCGAATGGAACACAGGGCGCGCAGATGTTCCGTGATCCTGGTGACTGGGGAGATATAGATAGTATGGAACTGGGAGATCATCTGTTAATGGACATTGAGCCATTTGATCAGGTGTTTTATACGGTCGAATGACTTTCCTGTTGCCCGGTCTTTGTTGTTGTCATAGGATACAATTACCCAGACAACGTTCGGTTTGTCGATCAGTTTTAAGTGTGCGTGGACTGACAGCCAAGGCCACTGGGGCCCCTGCCTCTATCATTTAATTCCACACGCTCGCCTCTGCAGCTCTGGCACCAGCGTTGCAAATTCCAGGGGTCAGCCTACGTGGCATTAGGCTCTAAGAGAATCTGAGGGAAAGGATTTCACTTAGAAAAATTTATCGGTCCGGCTTGTCCGATCGGTAGGAAGGCATTGCTTCCCCTCATATGCGGCCCCGGTTCCCAAGCAGCTGATTCGGGACGTTTTCCGGCTTGATCGCTATACTCTCATAATCTCTCCTGCAAGAGCTGGATAAACTTGGTTTCTTATCTTCCGTGGGGATGCCATAGTCCAGTAGACGCTGTCTCGAAATTGAGTAGCACCACTATTTACGGGCAAGTTAATGGCACATGTATTAGCTTTGTACTGACGGTTGAAATGTGGAGCAATTTCCGGCTATGTACCGGATCTGTTCCGGATATCTTCATCGCAATTAGTTAGTACATAAAACTCCCTAGTCACGCAAGAACGGTTCGAACATAACGAATTAAAAATTCTCATTCTCTGGCAAGGCTTCGAAATGTTTGTTTCCTCGCTTGCTCTATTAGCACTTATTGCTCCTTTGATCGCAATTGCGGTAAAAATAGAACAGCCAGGAATAAATCCAAATCCCACAGCTACTGTACGAAATGGCACCTACTATGGTCTCCATAACCAGCACTATAATCAAGACCTCTTTCTCGGTATTCCATATGCACAGCAACCTATTGGTGACCTTCGCTTGCGGACCCCACGATCAATGAACACCTCCTGGCCAGTACCAAGAAATGCAACAGAATATTCACCCGCATGTGTTGGATTTAATCAGACAGAGGGTGCTTCCGAAGCCTGCCTTACTCTCAATGTCGTCCGCCCGGCAAGCATCGCTCTTTCTGAAAGTCTTCCCGTTGCTGGTCAGTATATACCCCAAATCTGATCAGAAGGGCCAGAACTGACTTTGCGCTCGGCCCCAGTCTGGATTCATGGCGGGGGATTCACCTCCGGCTCTTCATCAGAGAAACAATACAATCTGTCCTTCATCGTTGATCAGTCAGTCCAAATGGAAAAGCCCGTTATCGCAGTCAGTCTAAATTATCGTCTTCAATGCTGGGGTTTTATGTGGAGCAAGGAGATGAAGGAAGCCGGAGTAGGGAACCTGGGACTTAGAGACCAACGATTAGCTCTGCATTGGATACAAGAAAGTAGGTATCTCGATAGTGAAGCTCTTCCAAGTACGGATCTGACCATGACTTAGACATTGCTGCGTTTGGTGGAGACCCTGCTCAGGTTACAATTTGGGGTGAAAGTGCCGGCGCTAATAGTGTTGGCACACATCTGGTTGCTTACGGAGGGCGCGATGATGGTATATTCCGTGCAGCTATCAGTGAAAGTGGTGCCCCAAGTGTTTACCAACGTTATCCAACACCTGCTGAATGGCAGCCCTATTATGATGGTATTGTGAATGCATCAGGCTGCAGTTCAGCAACGGATACTTTGGCTTGTCTCCGAACAATTCCAACTAACATATTGCATGGCATCTTTGACAACACGTCTATTGTACCCATGCACGCTATTTCAGGCCTCAGCGGAGCAAAATTCATTCCTGTCATAGATGACGACTTCATTAAAGAGAGTGCCACGGTTCAGCTCCAGAAGGGCAACTTCGTCAAAGTTCCCTACTTGATTGGAGCTAACGCCGACGAAGGGACTGCATTTGCTGTGGAGGGAGTCAACACAGATGCTGAGTTTCGCGAGCTAGTCAAAGGTTGGGGCCTCAACAACGCTACCACGGATATCTTGGAGGCCCTATACCCAGACATTCCTCAGATAGGAATCCCCGCCATAATGGTTGGAAGGCCACCGTCCGGATATGGAAATCAATACAAGCGTGTGGCCGCATTTCAGGGTGATGTTAACATCCATGCCGCACGTAGGTTGACCAGTCAGATCTGGTCATCCCGCAATATCTCAGTATATAGCTACATGTTTGACGTTATCAGCCCTGGATATGGCCCCTCTGCTGGTTCCTATGCTGGGGCTACTCATGGTACTGATATTCCGTACGTTTTCTATAATCTGGATGGCCTGGGGTATGACTCGAACAACAAGTCCATAGAAAGCATACCTAACAGTTATTCCCGCATGAGCAAAATTATGTCAAGAATGTGGGTCAGTTTTGTGACAACATTGGACCCAAATCATTCTGGAGGTATGGTCCCACATCCCATTCCTATGATTGCGCAATGTCAGACCCGAGCTGAATCAACTATCTTCTTAGGAACTAATGTTCAGTGGCCGCCATACAATATCGATAATCCGGAGATAATCTTTTTCGATACCGATGTCACGAACCTCACATATGTGAGTTCTGACGTTTACCGTGCGGAGGGCATAAAATACATCAGTGATCACCTTGCAAGTGATTTCGGGCACTGAGATCACATATCTTCTCGGTCTAATTTTAGAATGACTGTGGTCTCATCTAACCAGACTTGGCCCGCAGGTCTTTACGCCCACTGGTGGTAATTGATGCAACCCCCAAGCTATATAGTGTCTGGGGCTTTGAACTACTGTCAATGAGCGAAAATTGACTATTTCCCTTTATGACTCATGTAGTAGCATTTGTGCTGGCACTGTGATCAAGATATGTTTTTCGAGATTACCGGTAGCAGAGTAGTCGATGTCGCCAATATTATTCATCTATAATGAATAGTAATAACTTAGGAGTCATTCAGTATAGTCGATACTGACATAAGTATCTTTTCTTGTGATATTTATAATATGTCCCGTTTGGCCTTGTTTGTAGTAACTCTCATAGCCTGCTGCTTGAGAACTCATCTGTTCAATCATAGAGATACCAATTATGGAAGGATAGGTTGGCATCGGTGTTTGTTTCATCAAGACTACTACCTAATAAGTCACTGAAGAAGGCTGTAGACTGAAAGCGCGACATTGATGATTAGAATTCCAACTTTGGTCAACATATGCATTAGACTATAAAAGGGACATGTTAGAAGAACTAAGTACATACGACCATAGGGTGTGGAAAACAGGGCTTCCCGTCCGCTCAGCCGTACTTAAGCCACACGCCGGGAGGTTAGTAGTTGGGTGGGTGACCACCAGCGAATCCCTTCTGTTGTATGTTTTTGTTTCTCTATAAAACTTTTGGTCGGGCATCTCGAGATGTCTTCCAGGATGCTAAAACCTTCGGGTTCCTCACAGCGGAGATGGTGTCAACTGGCTTTTTTAATGCATTCTTGGCTAAAGTGCTCGTGAACACGGCAATATAGTACGATGATATCTGAAGTTTGTGGTGTCAAGACATATGCTTATTGTGACCACCAGACCATAAATCGGAGTATTCACAGCTTATATCATCCTCAAACATTGATTGCATAGTAGAGTGTCTAACTCTTGACTCAAGGGATTGAAAATGATTATTTGAAAATATAGGTAGTTTTGAATAACATTCTGGCACACGAGCTTTAGCTGGATTAGTAAGATGTGACGCCGATTTTGGGTTTGATTATGTCATCATTTGGCAGTTCCCCCAGAGGACAGCCCGGTTAAGAACGAACCTTTTCTGAGCCCGTATACAAATGCGGGGAACAGAGATGAGGAGATGCCGAAGCATGCTTTGGCAAACAGAAGCCACTGTGAAAAACCATTCACAGATATCTTGTGATAGTTGGATTGCACTGACTGTCCGCGAAAGCGAGCATATCTATCCCGTATACTGAGAACTAGTATGGTTTCTCCAGCCAGTGGGAAACGCCGACTGCGCGCCTCCAAGGCGTGTCAGAGATGCAGTCGGCGCAAGGTCAAGTGTGATGTTGCTGATCTGGGCTGCCCTTGCAGCCGCTGCCGCATGGATAACATCACCGAGTGTACATTGGTAACCTCCCGTCGAGGCACCTATGACCGAACAAGCTTTCGACGACAGACAGTGAGGACTGCACCATCTGCATCATCAACGTCACCACCGCCAACGTTACAGCCATCATCGCAGGTTCCTGAAGCTATCCTGACTGCATCGTCAACCCGGTCAACTGCATCGAGCGTCCGGAGTCCCGTGCAGGGTCTGCCCTCGCGCCAGTTCGTGAGCGAAGAAAACCGTCCAAACTCCACTTTCGCAGCAGACCGGCCGGAGATCATTTCAAATATGGAACAACCAGTCAGCGATCCTCATGCTGTAGATTTGACGCGTCCGCCTGATAGTGCACCATCAGCCTCCGCGACAGACCTGTCGGATCACCGATCACTATCAACAAGGTTCGAAGAATTCCTCGGCCAGGTGGGGCACCGAAGTTTGTGCAATCCGAAGCTAGTTTTGTTCGGAGAGCCTTCACCTTTAACCTTTGCCCTGAAGCTGCAGAAAGGCATCCACTCGGATCTCCATGATGCGAGCCAACGCGCCTTAACTAGTGATTCGCTGACTGTTGTCGAGGACAATGTTCATCCGGAACACCTACTTCCGCATGACGTTGACTGTTTGAAAGCAAAGGGGGCGTTCATTTACCCGGAGCCGAACATTCTGGAGGAGATGATCAACGCTTTTCTGGAGCATTTCTACCCTTTATACTCCGTCGTGGATCCAATAGATCTGCGCAAGGCGCAGCAAGAGCGGAAACTGCCATGGATCCTGCTTCATTCAATCTGTTTCGTCGCAATGACTTTCTGCGAGCCTGCGCTGATCTTTAAGGCCGGGTTTAGCTCTCGTGCACAAGCACGTAAGGTCTACTACGACCGTGCCAAGGCTCTCTTTGACTTCAACTACGAGAACCGTAAGATAATCCTAGTCAAGGTGGCGATCCTGCTCAGCTTTAAGGGCCCTCAGATGGATTGTTACTGGAATCCGTGCTCGTGGATTGAGATCGGGGTGACCATGGCGGTGGCCATGGGACTGCACCGCAGGTCTATTGCAATGAGCGGGAACTCTCGTGACAAAGGTCTGCTTAGACGATTATGGTGGACATTAGTTATCCGTGATACCCATTGTTCCGCCCTTCTTGGTCGACCATTTCGGATAAACATGTCCCAGGTTGATATTGAAATGTTAGCGGAGGATGACTTTCCCAACGTGCACACATGCCGATCACAAACAACGTCATCAAGCTGCAACTGTCGCCAGTCAATTGAATACCAGATACAGGCCACAAAGCTATCCCTTATTCTTCGAGAAATCATGTTCTTCCGCTTCGGGCCGACAAGTGGAAGCTCGACTACTAATCACATCCACGAGCAATTGGACCGCTGGAAAGCACAGCTCCCCCCTCTCATGCAGTGCCACAGGGGCCAATTCTCTACGTCAATCTTTGCTCTGCAACTCGACATCCTGCTAAATTACCACATTATGCTCCTCCACATGGACCGACACCTAGAATCGAAACCTATTGACTCGTCACTCCCAACCCCAATGTCTAGCAGCTACAACTCCACCGCAATTACCGAGTCAGCAGCCCTAGCCGTTTCATCAAGTGCTATTAAGCTAATGACACGGACTTCCATCAGCGACGTTCCTCATGAAGTCTTCCCTGGGTTTTTTGTGGCAGGGATCGTCCTCTACCAACAGGCACATCGGACGCAAGACAACCACTTCGCAAGCATGGTCCGTGCAAGCTTCGATAACTGCCAAATGCTCCTAAGCCAAGCCCAAAATACTTGGGACCCCGGGGTGTGGGCGATGAGGGTATTTGAGTTCCTTTTGTTTGCCGCCGACGCAGCCGACGCAGCAGAAGCCACAAGGGCATCGGGAGACACTCACGGCTACCAACCAAACACTACATCTTTGGACACTAACACTACTCCATATACACAACCTTCCCATCCAATGAACTCCGACATGGAAAGTTCAATCTGGTCAGACATCCCCAACATGGAATTTGATCGGAATGTGACAATGGATTTGGCGGAATACATGCTTTTGCCCAATTTTTTCACTGCACCGTTCGGTAACTAGGAAAGCACTCATATATCATGTATATTAGCCTTGATAGATGTTACCCGGTGTCATGCATGGGATATTCTAGCAGCTTTGATTCAAAGATCGGATGGTGAGGACTACGAAATGTTACTTACAGTAATTGCACATCTTCTGTTTTGCTAGACCGCCGTATTTCTTCTGCGCAATCCGTCAGCCTGAACGCCGTTCTTGCGCTTCAGAAACACCAATGCTTAGCAAGCCATCTTGCCTTCGGATCAAGGACCTTGTAGGCGCGGCTGTGTGGCCTCCGCAATTACTCACTACCCGCGGCTATATGCCTCCCGGGTTGAATGTCAGGGCACACTGCCGCGGCTCCCACAAACTTAATTATGATCGCCACGACGTCAATTTCACTCGCACCGACAATTGAGCCATGGTTGTTGTAGATTCATCATAGACAGGCACGGCTGGCTCACGCCATCATTGGTCGATTGCCTTGCGGACTTCTAGCGGGAGTCCTTCACATGGAATTCGCCACCAGGCAACATTGTAGAGCTCAAAGGGCCTGGGAGGTTCCAGATTCGCGAGATTGAACAGTCCTAGCCGTGAGTATACGGTGGAACAACTACAAATGATGTGATCTAATATCTGTCGTGATGTGTTCGGAGAATTATGTGGAATCGTGAAAGGTTATTCTTCCGTTGGGCGAATATCATAATTAGTAAATGCATATAACCGAAGGGCACGTATAGTAGATAGTAGAGGGCCTCGAGTTATAAAATCGCATTCACCCCAAGCACGATAGTAAAGTACCACTTCTCCTTCTTAAATTCAAACATTTCAACTGCCTACTATGCCATCTGTTTTCTTAATTGGCCCTGGCTTGATCGGCGGAGAGGTGCTCGACCTCCTTCTGCGCGACAAGAAGTATGAGATCACGACCCTTGTGCGCAGGGAAGCTGCCCGGCCAGCCTTCCACGAACTCGGCGTCAAGACTGTCATGGGATCGTTAGCCGACAAAGACGTGATTTCAAACCAAACAGCGGCCAGCGATATTGTGATTCACACTGCTACTGCCGATGACCTGCCCTCTGTACAAGCCGTCATTGAAGGTGTCCGGCAACGAACCCAGCTCGGACAAGAGACCATCTACATCCACACTAGTGGAGCAAGTCTCATCGGGGATGGTTCAAAAGGCTCTTATAAGAGCGATATGATCTTCGACGACGAAACTCCAAGCTCCATCGACTCACTTCCGGACCATGCCCCCCATCGAGAAATCGACCTGGCCATTGTGAATGCACGCAAAGAGCTTTCGTCCCATGCAAAGTTTGCGATCATGATTCCACCGGTTATTTACGGTGTCGGTACACGTGAGAAGCGACTCTCCATCCAGCTCCCAACGCTGGTGCGATATTCCATTAAGCATGGATATCCCGGTATGATCGGCGATGGCCTCTCTGTGTGGAACCAGGTACATGTGAAAGACCTCGCGCGCGGCTACCTCACGCTTCTGCAATGGTTGGAGCGGGCATCCAGCAAGGACATCTTCCCGAATCCGTACTTCTTCTGTGAGAACGGCCAGGAGCTCTTGTGGGGGGAATGCGCGGCTCAAATTGGACGGATCTTGAAGGAAGCAGGAAAAGTGGCAGATTCAACTCCCAAGACTATCCCAACGGAGAAGTACAATGATCTTTTCGGCGACTTTTCAGGTCTGGTGGTCGGGTCCAACGCCCGTAATCGTGCTAATCGGCTCCGCAAGCTGGGCTGGGAACCGCGGGAGAAGAACACCTTTGCTTCTCTGGAGGAGGATGAGATCCCCCTTATCTTGCAGGAGAAGGGGGAGTTCAATGGTTATGCTGCTCCGGTAGCTTCGGGCAAGATTTAAGATAAGAAATGAAACTGGCGTTGGAGTTGACTAGTATCGTGTAACTAGACGGTTAGTTTATGGTATGACAAAGCTGTTAGACTATCGAAAGAAGGATCTAGACAATATTTTGCACTGTCTGTATACTGAAATGTAGTTGCCTAATTTTATCGGATAGCCTGAAATCAAGGTAAATTGGTGGTATAAAGTGCAGGCAAGAAGCGCTACTCAACATTTGTTCAGTACTTTAGATACCAATCTCCACTTGGTGGAGGCCTAAGTCACCCGTCAATGTCTCTTGCGCGGTTGGGATATTGTGATAAAGTTGACTAGTCCAGAAACACTACAGGATCTTACATCGTTCGATAGAATGAAAATCAGTCTTCGAACGGATTGTTCTAATGTACTAATATATACCTCAGGAATATTGCCCGGCTAATACGTTTCGGGGCCTTTAACTATGTCACAATCTATTTCAGAACTTTGTTATTAGTTTACGTCCTCGTAACATTTCTTTGTCGGGGCAGCAGCGGTGTAAACCAAGCAAACATGCTTAGCACCATGTGACACAACAAGGCAACGGAATATTTAACCGCGCAGCAATCGATCTTGGCTCCTCTTTTGCCTTAGCTGCTTTCACTGTATGATCTGATCTTCAGGACTCTGGTTGCAGCTTATACGAAGGCGTAATTCAAGAGGTCTATGCCATTTGCAGGTCAGCACTAGTGAATAATTCACTTGTTAAACTGGGGAGGACCGTACCGAACAAAAAAGCGCACGCTGAGGCCAACTAAGCCCCGCCCCTCCCCACTCTATGGGCGCTACTTTGTTAAGATGAACTACCAAATGCCCCCTTTCGAGCCCTTGCATTTTGTCCCCGCAAAAGACAGGCAGATAATGCTGGACTTTCCTATTTGGAGAGTCGATGCCGTCGCCCATGACCCGCTTGATAATGGCGGCAATCATTGGTGTTTCTATCTCAACGTTACGGACACCACTTCGGTACAGATTGACATGGCTCCGTCATACAATGTTCCTGGTTCCACAAACCCCAACGGCAGCAAGGGCATTATGATCGTTAGCTACTTAGAGCATGCTGTCTCGATATTGACCACTACACAGAAAGCCGTGCGAATGGAAGCTCGCCCTGAGTGCAAAGCGCGAGATTTCCCGACTTATTAGTGGGCCAAAAGCGCCATCAATATGAGTTCAATGCCGCAGGCGAGGGCTGCAGGTATTGGGCCACCCAGCAAATCGATCTTTTCCAGAGATCTGGATTCCTCGTCAATCCTTCCCAGGTTGCTCTGCGGAAAATGCCATTCTCACGAAGTGGCCCAGTGGAGTTGGGTACCCGCTTGTGTGGCACCTATTATCCCTAAGGCTTATCCATGTGCGGTGGTCATAAATGCGCTTTGGTTGATTCACCCTTGATGTCTTGCTTTTTCAAAACTATAGGTTTCGCCCTCTTTTGTTTTACGCCCATGCAAAAAAAAAGATTTAAATGAGAAAAACATACAACAGAAGGTGTATGTCGGTGGTCACCGAGCGCCCCAGGTTGGCCCGTCGCTGCTTTATTCAGTCCATTCAGTCATGTTCAGGTCGCTTCGGGGGCGCTGTCAGCGTCCTGAGCCGACCCCTCTAAAACGTGCTGCGCTACCGGGATGTGCTGACCGGGGCAGCCAGGCTGACCGGATATAAGACCTGTTCTTCTCTTTCACCAGTCGGAATCTGTATCTTCTATCCTCCACATGTTCGCTCTTCTCTCTGTGCGCTGATGTATACTACTAAGTATGGTGGTGAAAGGAGTACGCTCAAAAGTCTATCAGCAAGTCAACCTCGACGACCATGACAACTCAGAACGCAAATCCAGAGTACTGGGTCGGACCGAGAACCAGTATGATAGGACTTTAAGTCTTTTTGATGAGTTAGAAAACCTCCTCTTTCTAGGCATGTCTCCCACTTACGGAATCCAGCTTTCTTGAGCTACATCCCAAAGCCTCAGATCCGCCCGATATACGAACTTACAAAGGATTTATGGAATTTGTGAGCAAAAATACACGAGGTCGGCTGGGAGAATATCCTACACCTGAAACAATGGAGGGATTTCGCCGGCGGTTCGAGTCTGCACTCCGTCTACGTCGCGACTATGATATGCCGAATCATATATCCACAACGATTCGAGATTATATCGCGAATGATCTTAAAGAAACTGTCCCACTTTGCGAGGATGAAATGCCCAAAGACTCTGTATCGCCTAATGATCTCATGATTATTCTAACACACCTCTGGTGCCGTGATTTCAAAGAGTACCGCGGGAAATACCCTGACAGGTCGCGAGTCCAGCTTAGCGCCTCTTTGCTGTTATACTGTTTTACGTCAGCGAGGACTGGGGAGGTGCATGAATCTACAGCTCGTCGAGAACTGTCACGGAAGAAGACGAGCTTGAGTACCAGTCATGGCGGTGATGATGGTGATCTTGAAGCTCGTGTTCTAGCAGCATGTTATAAGGTATCTCTTCCTCAGCAGAACTTTGTCTAATAGGCTGACTCCCGAATAGCACTTTATACTTACTATTGAGTGGGTGGACGGTATCAAGATGCTCGTCCTCACATATTCCCGTGTCTATGTAAAAGGCTACTGGAAGAAAAAGAGATGGCAGCTCCCAATTCATGGGTTCTATGAAATATATAAAACGGAGGCTCCTCTTTTTTTCAATCTCTTGACGTTCTTTCTCCCCATGGCATGCGCAGATCGCGTCTTCATGGACTATACGTCTGTTGGTGAGATCATGGATGCAGCTGAAAACATGCAGGGTGACAATGATGAGAAAATAATTGCTAAACTCGAACTCAGACCAGAGATGGAAAACATTCCCATCTTTCGGCCATACGATGAGCAGGCAGTTGAGGATTCTACTGGTCGGTCTCGCGGAGCGGATTCTTTTGGTAAAGAACTTGCAGAACTTGGACATCGTGCAGGCTATACAGAAAATATTACAGGGCGTGCCTGCCGCCGATGGGCACTGATGGAAGCTGGTAAGTAATCTATATGTATTCTCCATCCCTCACTAATGTTGAGCTTACACAGATAAAAGCCACTCTGAAACTGCAAGAATGAAGTTTGCAGGGCATGTCAATAAGGGTACTTTCGGCAGATCATATGCACACCCACTCTCTGAAGTAGATGGACCGGCCACCTACCTTGGCATTCCCGGCCGTCATGAGCATATACAAAACCGGCGCAGCATGGGAATTCACAGGCACCCACAACTTTGGCAGTCGCTCCCCGCCAAGGCAGAGTTCGAGTTTCAGGAGCGACCGGATATCATTGAACTTGATCGACAGATGCAATGTCTCACTGACGAGCTGAGCAAGCTTCAGGATCCTATTAGCAAGAAGAAAGTGCAGCTAGGGCAACATCGAATATACAACGAAAAGCAGAGGCTTTATATACAAGAACTCCGAACCTTACAGCGAACACAGAGGAGAACGTTGGTTATACAGCCGACTGCTACATATGAACAGACACTTTTTAATTACACACGAAAGGTGATGCCAGAGCGCGATTTACTCGCTCAGCTTCTTCCCAGGAACGACTCCCTGCGAAGCCCCACAGGGAGAGCAGCTCTGGAAGCCCTTGAGGCTATATGTGCAGGTCGCAGTGCGAGTACCTACGGTGCAGGAATGCAATCTGTGAATGGGGAGTGTCTTTGTGGACGCTTGCTTACAGCGTAAGTATTTGCTCTAATATAAGTAATATCTACTAATAGCGTAGTCATCATCCTCACCGCCGTTGGTCCCATTTGTATGACTGTCATGAGAAGTACTTTCGCAAACAGAGCCCTGCGGATTTTGCACAGTGCTGTGTCGCTTGTTGTCGCTGGTTTACAGAGCCTGAAGATTGGACATCGCATTGCGAACACCACTTGACAAAGCCCGATGATTTGCTCCGCTGCGACCTTTTAGTTTTCCGACATGCTCTGGCTAAAGCAGCATATTGCCCATTTTGCCTCGGAGATAGCAGTCTCAAGCCTCATGAGCGCATGAAACAGTTTCTTGATCGCAGCAAATGGGATAGTCACATTAACTCCCATCTTTCCTCAGACGTACTATCCAACCAATATCATTGCCGGCACCCAGCCTGTTCGGAGAACCTAGAAAGTCTGACGGAATTGAAATGGCATTTGGAGGATGTGCACTGTATATTGCCCCTGCGAGGAAAGAAAAGGAAGGCTGATTCAGAATGACTAGGTTTTAACATGGTGTGGGAGTTCGCGAAGTATATGACTGCATGAGTGGCTGCAATTAGCTATCCCTTACTAGTAGAACCCAGTGTTTTACTTTTCCATTAAGTCGGTTGTATATAAAATGACATCATTTGCTTCCCCACTCTAATTTATATGTGCTAAATCAGTTGCCGATAATTATATAACAAAAGGCTGAAATAGCACTCCTCCCTTCCACATGATGACCAAGTACTCAGGAAAGTTATTTCCATTGATTTATCATGTTTCCTGCATACTTGTATTACCCCATCTACTGTAGTTTTATCTTGGGTATGATATCCTGCTCATGTTGTCTGGCTATACGTCTGCAGGCCTCGTACCAAACAACCCGCAAGCTCAGTGTCGAGGATGGTAAGTAGGTATACAAGATAACTGACCGATGGTGGATACTAATCATACCTCTTACAGTCTGTCTTATACTGTCTTGGGTAAGTGCCAGTTACTGTACACCAAATTACTCAGGCTTCTCAAAAATCACAGGCTTGTAGCATAGCGACCCAAGTGATAATCTTATGTGAGATTTTATCATTAATTTCACTCTTTAGCGGGGCTTACAAAGGGAAAAGGGGCTTTAGGCCACGCAGGTCTTGGGCATCACATATGGTACCTAAATGAGAAGACTATTGATATATATCAGAAGGTATGTCATGAACATCTACTATTATCTAAGGTAGATCTTGGGTTAACATTCCCAGCTGCTTCTCTCAGTATTCTGTTCATTTGTTTTCGGGATGTATCTGACCCGGCTTTCTCAAATATTGTTCCTACATCGAGTCATCATTATCACAGATACCCAGTGGCTCCGTACCGTCCTAGTTGTCGTTATAGTGTTTATATCCCTAGGATCATGCACTCTGGTTGCTTGTTTTATCTTTGCTTGTCAGCCAATATCAAAGTCTTGGAACATCGCACTTCCAGGAAAATGCATTAACAAGGCGGCTATTTTTGTGTCAGTGGCAGTGTTCAATATCGTGTCAGACTTCTGCCTAATTGCCCTACTTGTCCTGCTGATATGGCACATACAATTATCAAACTCCCATAAAAAGAAATTCTTCATTCTTTCCAGTTTGGCATGTTTGTCAGCATACCCAAATCCCGCTATTGGCGATACAGCTAAGAAAAACAGGACATTTATCGCGAGTGCTGTCCGCTTACGATTTACTGTTCCTCTACTGAAATCCGATGACCTGACATATAAAATGGCACCTGTGGCCTTATTAGTGTAAGTTTGACAACATGATAGATAGTTACGCTTGCTAAACTCATGACACTCAGTGGAATAGAAGCCAATGTGACTATTATCACTGTATGCTTTCCCGCAGTAAGACAATCAATCCGCAGAACTGCATTGAGAACCTCTACGCAGTTTTGATTTTTTGCATCTCATGTAAGGGTGATACACTTAATGGCTATTTCTAGTCCATGCAATCAAGCTCTCAACTGAAAAGCTGTCCAGGTTCTTGTGAGATTCGATCTATTTTATACGCATCAGTGACAACCCTCCTGTAATGGTTTTACGGCATTACCATAGAGCGTGATTCCAGAGCACATTCTGAGTCAAGCGTTTCTGGCTTTTTCGATGTGACTAACCACTCTCCAAATGGGCGTTCGAGTTGGTGACTCGTCTGGGGATTGCGTCGGGTATGGACATGCTTTTTACGCTTGCTGTTAGAATTTGCATGACTTGAGTCTCCACATGCCTCATGTGCAGGGGTTGCCGCTTTCTCCTTAGGTAGTCTCGGCTTCTTCCTTTGTAACTTTTTCTTAGAGCCTATTGATAGTCAATTTGTTTTCTCCCGAAGTGCAAAATATCTTGAGGTAAGATAGAAAGATTTACGGTGTCGGCGCTGGGCAAGACGGTTTTGTACTCGTCGTCTTAGAACGGGATCAGATATCTTTTTCCAGTCTTCCTCTGCCTCTATTTTGATGTCCGAGAAACGCTTGACTCCGTGTCGACTTATATTATTGCTGGACATGGTAACAAAAGATACCTTGTATTTGACCAAGTATCTGCCTGCAACATTCTCTAGAGGCCGATTCTCTAGAATACTGCACGAAAGCAGACTGGGAATGGCAACCTTTATATAAACTACGTCTGTTTATAAGGTTATAAGTTGGCCTTGTATACTGAACCATCGAATTCAACAACAAAAGAGAAATTCAGTGTACCGTAGAGTGGCGGTGGTCCCTATCATGAAATGAAAGCATTAAAGATTATTAACGACGCAGGCGCCAGAATTCCCAGTTAAGCAGGCGCGCGGCTGAAGGTCTCCGTATGTTGTTTTCTAGACTTCCAAAATTGCATGCACACGGCAGAGTTTCGTTTATCTTTTTGCATAACCAACTCTTCGTAATCGGATACTTTCAGAGACTTAGGTCTACGCTTCCCTCATATTTTAAATTTTAGTGAATGCTGTCACTATAAGGTCACAGAAACTGTACACGAAAAGAAAATAATTTCCATATTACCGCACTATGATCTGATTAACTAATAACAGCGATCAGTGGCCTCGAGCAAGGTATAGCAGTAATGGACTACGAACAGTAGTACTTACTGCAGATATTGACTCTCTCTCTCTTAGGATTTACAAAATTCTATAGACGCCTGAAATGTTCCATTGCAAAATCTTTGTTAACATCTATCTGCCTCCACCCGTAGCCTGTCAAAGTCCGAACGCTGCATTTGTACCCTTTCCCCCTTGCAAAAAAAAAAAAAAAAAAAAAAAAAAAAGAAAAAGAAAGGGGGGGGGGGGGGGGGGATAGGCAGAATAATAAACTTCAAGTGGATGGCCAAGGGCATGCACACGTCAGGGTTCCATTCACGTTTTCAATAAAGTCATCTGCTCCAGTTAGCACCCTACCGAACCTCAGACTCAGGACATGCATACTCATGAAAATGGGCTGGTATGTTTTCCCGGCAAACAAGCAGTCGTTGTATCCCACGATATCCGAGTTCCAGAACTCGCATCCCGACAACAATCTGTTCACATCAGCAACTGGTTGTATACTAGTGAAATTGACTTACGCATTGTGCCAGCCTTCAAGTACAATATCGCAGGATTTGATGGGCAATTTGCTTATGTTCCAGACTTTATTCTCAAAGTTATAACAGGTTGCAGACAATATTCCCGAGCCATCAAGGTCGGGATTTCGACAACTGGAACTGAAAGACCCGCAGGCAAGCGAGCCAACAACTGTACAGGATAACATCCAAAGGTATAGAGGCATTGCTATAGTTTATCCTATGATTTGAGGAAAGACAAATTACTATTGATTCAGCACGAGTAAGGTCAAAGAATCGAAAGTTGGTGTGTAAATATCAACGAGGTTCGGGGGGCATTCGACGTATATATAGTACGTCATGAGACGCCGAGGATCGTGAAATATGAAAAGGCAGCGCGAGCTAACCAACAGCTAGGTGATACTACTTGATACAGCCTGACACTACTTTAAATAAGCGCCTAACTCATGATAAAATAGGCACATGATCTGGATAAACATACTTCATTTACTAAAGTTAGTATCTCACAACCGCTCGCAATACCGACCTCCGTCTATATACGGTAGTAATATTTTGACCCATAACCACGCCTACCTAACTAAAGAAGTCAATTTGCAGGCTCCATTTTCCGGGACGTAGTCACACTCTTCTGCTGGGGTACAAATGACGCTTACAGTAGTCAGGACCTTAGCTCTACATGCAATTTGCTTCATATATCAAGTTCGTCACTTCTCGCACTCTTATCTGAAGTACAATCGGCAATCTGCTCTCCGTTCTTTAGAGGTGTGCTACACGTACTAAAGAAGTCTCAATTTTGTTGGTCAAAAGAAAGCCATGTTCTGGGGTGATCGTTCAACAGTATTGTAGGTACAGGCCAGCTATCTTACATCTGATTTGATCTAACCCATTCTGCCAAGCGTTCGAGAAGGGAAGATACCTAATGATCAAGTTTTACTGTCCGCACACACTCTTGAGAAAGCGAAGTTACAAGCAAATGAGCTTGCATGGCTTCAGTATCGCGAACATGAACGGCCTTTCCTTCCGGTTATAGATGAAACTATCCCGTACAAAACTGTTTCAATAAGCCTGGCGGCGCGACAATATCTTTGTATGGATACTGATAAGAAAGCTCGCTTGATGAGAAAGCCTATTCCACTGGTACGGTAGGTGTCTATTCTCAGTGACTATTCATCAATCTCACGCCACCAGCATAGGCAGATGAGATTTACTTGTGTCCAACGGGTACCACGGAAAACCTTAGCGGCCGTTTACTTCATGACTTCGTCAATCCGTATTTCACCCGCTGTACTAGGTTGATTAATGTCCATGATCATATCTTTATCTCCTCAGGTGCGTGTGATATCGAGTTCAAAGTTCTTTCAATAAAACCTTTAGAGTATGGGTTCGTTACACAGAAGACAAATATTGTACTCTCGGGACTGCGACCATACCGTGACCTTGATATGTTGGAGAGCCTGTCGGACTACGCACGAGAACTACAAAAAGAGCTTGATTACGTATATTCGTCAAACTATGCCAGTTCAATTGCTAGAATCTCCTTTCAGTTTGGAAGACTTATTGATCAATTGGAAGCATTGGACCTTCCCCCAATGTATTGAATATGTGGTACTTTATATATATCATAAAGCCTTCTCCATCGGACGCTTTACTCAAAGTTACTTATTGCAGTGGTATTTCGCCTTTGTTGGATGGCCATATCGATTGGTCGAGGATCTTGGATTTGCGAGTGAAATAAAATTAGCTTCTGACAAACAACATGGATGGAGTAAACAGTGCAAGACTTGCTTGACTCAGTGGATAAGCCTGCATTATTCCCAGTCAGCTGACTGCCTAAAAAGCAGACGTACAACAACATGGCTTGAGGAAAAGAGGATTTTAATTGTTCTTTGGTCCTTGAATACTAGAACCTACACGGTCTATTCATGTATTATGAAATTGTAATTGCCGTCTTTGTGGCTCGCATTCGTAACATGAACAAAACTTGATACTATCCCTCATGATATGTTAAATAATTGTCTTAGCCTTAGGCTAGGATATCAGCCCATTTTGAACTTATTCAGTTCAGCACGAAGTGCTCTAATCTCTTTCTCCTGCTCACTTAATTTTGTGTCTTTGTATCGCTGATTTCGAAGACTATTGAGGAACTCTTCGAACATGGCCGCACCAGTATCATCCGGTGCTGCTCGGTCATCAAGCTGCAACGGAGGCTTATCTGCCTGCTGTTTCGGCTCAGCTATCTGTGGCACTGTAGACCGAGAGGATCCTGCCAGGCGCTTGCTGATGTGAAGAGGAAGTGGTACGTTGTACTCCCGATAAAGATCTCGAACATCGTAGTCTGCATCAATGCCCCTTCGTATCTCGCGATAGTTGGTTAGTGTTACAAGGTAGGGCTTAGACGGTTCTGGCTTGCTTTTGTCCTGGAGCCCAACCCAGGTAATGTTTTTTGGTCCGTCTTGTTTGAAAACAGCCCGTACACGGTACTTTCGGCCGTTTTCGGAATCACGCTCGAGATTTGTCTTCTCAATGCGTCCTTCCGATGCCATATATTTATCAACGCTGTCATGCCCGACTTTAGCCCCAGGCCGTAACTCGCCGATGGGGATTTTGTCATTTTTCGCGACAGCGACCCTATAGCCATTGCCTATCTTCTGAATGCCACATATCAACTCATTATCCCTACTTCTTATCCCTGGTGGAGAAGGACTTGGCTGAGGATTGCGTTGACCAGGTAGATCATAAGCCCAGGTATGAGGATAGTTATTTTTCGTACACTGATCCTTTATTTCGTCATTGACCGTATCCACCTTCCTCCGAGCCTCAATATTATTTGGATCTTGTTTGAGGCTCGGAAGCCATTTTTGCATCGTCGAGTAGGAAGAACGCAATTTTTCTATATCAATTATAATAGAGTTCATAGTGCTGTTCTTAGTCTCATATTCCTCTATCCAGCTATTCAGTTTCCGAAGAGCTGTTAGAGCCTCCTCGTCTCCGGGCTGCATTTTTAACTTCTGTATGTGACCATCGGCGAGCCTGTGTAAGGTCTCACGGCCGTATTCCGGGCTCTGATTGGGAAGTCGCCATGTTTCCGGCCAATCAAACATTCTGGCATGCATGGTCAACGACGCCTGATGCTTCTGATACTCAGTCCACGCTTTCTCATCCCCTGCTTTGATCTTTGGTTCTAGAGCTTTTATATTTTTGGCGAGTTCTGTGAGGTATGATTGGCCAATAGTAAACCGCTCAGTGGATGGTGGCGGTTCGGGATGATTTTCATAATACTGCGATATTCTGTCTGCCGCCGCTGACAGTTCCTTATGTGCTGCTTCGTCTTTTGCATTTTTGAATAGTTTCAAAACATAGGGAGTCGCTTCCTGGTATATGGCTTTGATATTGTCTGGAGCATTTGCCTTTTTAGCCTCTTTTCCATGGCTCTTGGACTCGGTGTCTGGTTCAGTGTCTGGTTCGTCATCATCGGATGAGTAACTGTCACTGTCGTCCTCATATGCATTTGGATGCCACGAAGCTGATATATTCAACTCATCACACTGCTTTTTGGTAAGGATATTCTCGGATGCGCTAATAAGCACTATTACCTCGTCAGGCTAGATAATCTTATGCTGGTATACTTGAACCTACATTTAAATGCGGCAGTGGCCTTTGCTTTGCCATCGTTTTTGTCAGGATGAACAAGCAATGCCTTCTTATGAAAGGCTTTCTGCACAGCCTTTGGATCAGATGATTTTGAAACACCCAAAATTCGCTCATATTCGTTCTCATCACCAGTCAAGATTCTGTCAATTTCTTTGGATCTCTTCTGCCGAAGGTTTCCTATCTGCAGATGGCCTTCGGATGCCTTCGCATTGTCAGTAGGCTGACTTGGTATATGCTGGACTTTCGGAGTCACAGAAGGCACATGTTCAGCGTCGCTCGAGGAATGCGGTGCCTTCTTGGAGGGAACTGGGATGGACGATGCATTTTCATTGTCGCCCTTTACATCATCCTTAGAGCCTCCTTCAGTGTGATGAGTAATATCAGGTGTATTCGGTATATTCTGGTCTTTGGGGGCCTTGGACAGGTTAGAATTGTCCGAAGAACTTGTTGCGACGACCGTGTCAGCATTTTCATCCTCATAATAGTCTTTTCCAGTCCTGACGTCCGGAGCAGGAAGAGCAGGAATCTTGCTTTCGCTCATTGTGGATTATTGATGGAACTTAAGACTGATAGGTAGCCTGATGATAGATTGATAGGTAGTATAATAGCAGTTTTGGATACAGTTTGACAGAACCTTTCCGAGTCACAGTATGTTATGGGAGATTAAGCATATTTATAATTCTTCCAACTGTGCAGAGCCAATATTCTAATTATTGCCGTCAGCAGTGTCAGAGCACTGAAACACACTATGTCCTGCTGAAACCAATCTAATTATCAGGAATCCCAACAAGTAACAGGAGTTGTTCACCGACCGCTGCTGAGCCTTGCAAGATGATGTAGCTGAAGGCATTTAGCATTAGATAGTAACTTAGTCTACCAGCCTACTAATGCTAGGGTTATTCGTATTACCTTTTCTTACCTACATACACTATTTGCCCTGGACCAAATAGACTATTTCTGGAACGAAATTTGCTTCCGTCCTTCAAAGGCCGGTATGGTTAGACATGAAAACCTCGGAAGGATACTTATTAGAAAGGATATTGTACATGCTCCAACTGTCTACAAAACCCCTCATGTTAAGGTCATTACTTTATCCAGAAACTTATATTAACCGAAGGTGATTAGCTTCTATCATTTGGCCTATGTACGTACACAACTGGCGAAATACGCTAGTCGTTTATAGTTTACCACAGAATTGATAAGTGATTTGAAGTGAAAGTACAGGGTGATGTAGCTATTGCAGTCAAGGATACTTGGCAGAGAAGTGATCAAACCCATCAAATCTAGTACATATGGCTACTGTAACTTCCTTAGAGACTGTAACCTCTCTTGTCTTGTCTTAAATAGCTCAACCCTGGTCCTGGGTAACTGGCTTTCAGGCACCCATATCTGCATATGGTGCTTGTTGCAAGTCCCATATCTTTTTGTCTCAGTCGAAGTCCCTTCTAGATTTGCAATGAGGTCAAGCTCATTCTCCCTCACCCAGATGCAGACTTGAAATTCTTCTCTGCGATTTTTCACGCGTAGATCATTGATATACCATTGGCGTTGGGACGACAGACCTAGCATATAGCAAGACTTGATAGCGTCTGTATGGACTAGGTCATTTTGCCTTAAATTCAACTTCAGCCGTAACGGTCTCTGAGGCTCAGACCATCGTCGACAGGGTGTGGACATTCTGAACAAACTCTCATCTGCTGATTGCTGTGATGTACTATCAGTACAAGAATAGAAAAGGTCCTAAAACCGGGCAACTGACCTCTGAAAAGATACTTAAAATTGGTTCGAAAATTGTCTATACTGCTAGCGGACGCTATTCCAGCAAGCAGGATATAAGCAAAGGAGGATCTTCATATATGAGAGAGGCCTTTCGAGGAGATACAGGGAAACATGAGACTCTCCTTATATGTCATCTTAAGGTAATGCTTACCATGACTTAAAGACTTCACGAAGGCTTATCGTATCAGCTACGCAGCTATTAGGCTCGAAGCTAAACCCAGCCATATGAATAGAACCTCCATGTCCGATTCATCCAGGCATCCAACTTCTTGTTCTCCAACGTGCAGTCCGGAGATTACGTGGGCAATGCACGATTATGCTTCAACGTGCATTGCTTCAAGTCATGAATACCAAGGAACCTACCATAACCAGTCAACGGAGCATAGTTGTTCACTCAGAGATCTGTTCAATACTTCTATAATGCAGACTGTACGCGTCTTGCGAATAATCCTTATTGGGGTAATCTTCATCATTACGTTTTATATTATATTCACCTCAGCTGCATGATGGCGCTCCATGATGGACAATTACTCCCAAGTGCAAGGTGCTGGAACTACATAGTGATCTTTTTAGTAGTTTCCTTCTATTATAGTGGAGAAGCCTCTTGGTCTCCAATAGCTAGGATATTACGGTTTGCAATTAGAGGGGTTTTTACCATGGCTCTAGAGCCGCAAATATACTTACGAAAAGCTCGTATAGACTAGATCAAAGGCGTAGGCTAGTATTTTATAGCTGTGTTGATTACATTATCAGACAGTGTTCAGATGATGATCGTTCTATAGTGGTGTTGATCAAGGAGACCCATATAATTCTGGTTTTTAAGTGCAAAGGACTTTCCTAGATAATAATCATTCAGATACATCTCCTCTAGTAAAGTATAATTGTCGGTGTAATTATGAAACTAGGACACAATTATGCAAAAGCGAAACGAAACACAAATTCTGGGGTGGGCCGTTGTCTTATGTGCAGAAATCCTACGGACGACCAATAGTGTTATGGGAGACCATACATTTCATAATCGTAGACCAGAAAAGCAGTGAATGCCGGTGAATTACTCGGCGCGCCCTGATACTCTTGGTTGAAGTGGAAGCCGTGCCGGATGGCGAACGCATCAAACTCACGCCGGTGGACAAAGACACCCCGGATACAGCGATAGTAGTCAGGATCGCATAGACTGCTTCTAGCAGCGTTATCCGGAACCGGCCGTAAGTTCAGAGTTTCTCCTGCTAATGCAATCCGGGATAATATGAGTCGTGTCAAAGATGGCATTTCCTGAAAGTGCTGCAAAAGTGGCCTCCATGATCCAGAGGTTAGATCTACCTTCTCTAAGTGCAGCTCCTCAACACCTCGGTGATTCTCCAAGAATTGAAGCAACGCACTTGAAGTTGTATACATGCCAAGAAGCGTTAGCTTATTGAGCAGAGGGAGACGAACTGTCCCAGCGATCGTATCAAAAAGTCGGTGGTAAGAACTGACGTTTCCTCTAACGGTACGACGTAGGCTGAGAACCAATGAACCCAGGTTTGGCATATTTTGCAAAAGACGGGAGACACCATCTAGGCCATCGGTGAGCACTGGATTGGAATCAATCCGCATGGAGAGATCAAGTGCAAGACATTTTATTGAGCGGCCTGTCGACAAGGACCACTTTCTTGTATCAAGATCATCCATATTAGCAGTTATCTCATTGCAAGGTACCGCGCAGCGTATAGTTTCACGGTAGATAGTCAGATGGTGCAACACAATATTGCTCTGGGCGAGAGCCAACATGGTTATCTTGTAAATCTGACTTGCTTTAGCCCAGATTATCTGCCAATCACCCTGGGCTCTGAAAGTGTCTGGACGGGGTGCAGTTGTCGCAGTAGCCTCTAAAGCAATGGTATCTAACTGCCCAATACGGTTGAGAACAGCTGCCAGACTATTTGCCGTATTGTCTTCATTCGCAAGTTGAGATGCCGAAGAACGGGCTTCCAGCCATTTCAGATCCAATTTTGCTTGGTTCAGCTCATCCTGAGAACAGTCCCTAGCGACCAGGCGCGGAATACGTGCTCGGTCTTCACATCGTCTCGTGCGAAGAACTCTCTTCGTAAGCGATGGATCATAGACTTCCGCAATGATAGTCAGCTTTTTAATGGCTCGAGACAGAATTGGATGGCGGGAAAGTGCTAGCAGAGACTGCAGACTTTCGACAGTCAAGTTTGTGACTTGATGGCGGAAAAAAGACTTAAAATGAGGGCCCAGACATAAATTTCCCAAGGCCCTGTTGGTCAGGCGCAATGACTTGATGCTCTCAAGATCAAGATGTTCAATAATAGTATCCACTACAATCACCGGAGGCGAGGAAAACCCATTTCTAATTACGCGCATTCTGGCTATGCATATACTGTTGCCGTTAGCACATGTCGCTTCGCTCGACTTCAGTCTAGACTAGTCATTCATGGTGTTCAGGAAGGGAGCTCTCATCACACTTGCAATGTTCTTTTGATTTTAAAACGTATAAAGGAATACTGAAAAACCAGACATGCATCCGATGGGTCTCACGGGGTCTGGAAAATTTCCGGAAAGAATCTGGAGGGCGGCGAAAACATAGAACCTTGAAGAATCTCGTAGAGGCGCACGTCTTTATAACTCGATAGAGGATTTGGGCTGCTTACCTTTGCGTACTAATACAGGTTCTAGAATCCTTGGGAAGATTTAGGCCTGTTTCCCTGGCAGGAGGACGAGGACGACGGCAGGATAGGCTGTCAATGGAGATTACGGATCGCTTGCTTAAGTACTCATAGTACATTACATTGAGCTTCCATTTCTCTGCTCGGAACAATTGTTTGCCTTGGCATCTGAAGAGAGCCTGTACTGAGCTTCTTCAGAGATTGCGGAGCTAAAAGCATCTTTTAAGACAAGATTATACATATAATGTACTGTAGAAGTCTAGCTTTGATCTTTTGTTTTAGAAATATCATTGACAGTAAATGGTCTGTTGGGCATCCTGTCTTATCATTCCACCTGGAATTATACGTATGTTTACACACGAGTTTCCGCGAGGTACAGTATGAGACTGATTATTGTCATTGTTCAAAGAGCTCACGGGTCATTTCATTAGGTCCCATAGCCTTAGTATCAGTCATGTTTTCAGGCACCATTACACCACCGCTGGTGAGCGGGACCTCTATTACCTACGACACTACGTCAATCCCAACCATCCACATTCGCCAGACAGCGACGCCTTTATTTACAAATATCACGAGTAATGATCCAGAGATTGGCAAGCCGGTCATTCCGCTGAAAGCCATCTGTCTTCTGATTGCAACACTGGGCACACAATTGCTCCACCTTATGTAGATACACTCACCTACGTGAGAGTGCTGTCATCCTATCTTCACTACACAGATACCTTGTTCCAGAATATGTATATCATAGTGGAACCCTGATAGTGTTACCAGAATATCATGTACAAGCCTCCACACCCGTCACCTGGTTCTAGCATCCCGTTGCCGCAATGAACGATTCCATATTCTTCAATCTCAAGCTGCCTTACACCATCAGTCCAGACTGCGCCTCCTTGTTCCGACTGCCGTAAGCAGAAAATCCACTGTGATGATTCAATTTCGTATATGTCGCGCTCAACTTGGAGAAGGGCAGGTGACAGATATGGATCCTATCGAAAGTCAGTATTGCACATAGGGGCAGTGCAGCTACGCACCTTAAGTATATCTCGCATGAGGGACAGTAGATAATATGCATCCAGCGAATAATCTTCCTTTATCTCCCAAGGGATACCCTCTTCGAACTCCCCGACTGAATCGCAGAGGATACATATATTCTTGACAACACCCGTTATGTCCGGCACGGGTTCAGATACAGTAATGATGGACATCTCTGTCTTCTTGTGACCCTAAGAAAGAGCACTGTTTGAGATGGGGCCCAATGACTGAGTTCAACTATCAAGCCCAATGGAACAAATAGTAGCTGTAGTTCTAATGCTACGTACTGAGCTTTCTAAGGCAATATATATACAAATGATGTATTAGCTGTCAGGTGCTATCTTATATAGGAAAGACACATAGATGACGCAAGAGTGCATAATGAAGCACCATCCACCTTCATGGTTGCTCAGAAAGCATGACAGGTGTGTAATTGATTTGTTCTAGGTAGATAATCAAGCTAAATACATATAGAGCGCGTGGAGTCAACAGAGGCTGAATCAATAAAGATCACATGTACTCTGAGAGCTAAGTATATCGTGGTTGATAGAAGTGAGCCAAAGTACCAGTTTTAATTCTACGTCTCCGTATGTCAATGGAATACTATATTCGAGTACAGGGCATGTACCGATGTTCAGTTTCCGATTACCATTTGAGGCACGAGATCAGCGTGGTTGTTTCGACGTCCAATAAATTCAGCCCGGGACCTTTTGCAAGATGCCAATATAAAAGTCGGACGTAAGCGGCTCTCTTGATATCTGCTCAGGCGATAATTTTTCAACGCGATAGAAGGCCCCTGGGTCTTTTATATATAGCAGATCAGTGGAAAGTTCGTCACATGCAGTACGTAGCACGTCGGACCGAAGATCAGTGTACAGCTCTCCTAAGATCTTACATTCTCGTAACGAAAGATCTCGGTAAGAAGTAGCGTTCAACTTTCGATGCCAACGAGGTGGTCCGATGTTGACGACACGCGGAAGAAGACATAAGATGTTCGGATCATTGTTTCCGACGTGCTCGACAAGATGGCACCAGTAGATAGCCTTCTTGTCTTTCAGGATACTCAAGATTTCCTCGCGGCTGACGGACCTATGCAGCGGTTTCTCGCTAAGGATCAGGTCTGCGACGATTTCATTACTGCCAGAGTGGTCTTTTTTCAACTTTTGTAGCTTCCAGCTAGCCAGGCGAAGACCAATGGTAGAAAGTGTCTGGCTCTTTTGATGCAAGCAGTAGGCATCAAATGTGCCCCAAGGTGTCTCGGAAAGGTCGGGGCATCTTGATGCAAGCTGTTGCCTTATGTGGCGTAAGCAGTCTTGAAGTGAAATCAGGACATCAGGTGAGCCGATGTTCATAGCAAGTTGCATCAACTCACTCGCACGGTCCATGCCAATGGGCATCTGATTACTGTCCTTGCGTGCTGCAATCTCTCTGACCGTATCCCACACTGTGGTGCGAAAGCCATGATGTTCACCGAAGTCTTTCCAGAACGTCTCAAGGGATCCGGTGGTACCATCAGGAGTTGGCAAATTCCCAGGCATGCCAAGTCGAAGGAGGCCATTGCTGCTCTGAGCTGCCTTGAAATCATGCAGTACCTCGCCGGCGAGTCTCAACCGGTAATCGGCAGGCACAGGGTCCTGGGCATCCATCCACTTCGTTCGCCGGCGGGTGACCCAGAGTAGCCAGGACCCGTCAGCCAATTCCGCCGGTATTGCTTGATGCTGAATATTCCATTGCGGGGTTCTCCTCCTTTCCAGATACAGTAGCTGAGTTACGTGCTCCTCAATTTTATGGCAAATCCCACAGTGATCGTTATCTTCTGGGGATGTAGCGCTGCCGCCTATATAATGAGTCAAACTGTCTGCCTGGCACTGAATCTCCACAAGTGAGTAGTCAGGATCGTCAACCATCACCAATAAGCGCTGTGGGCACTGTCGCAACTCTTTAAGCTCTACCCATCTCCCAGTCCATGTTTCAGGAGTGGTTTGTACCGCTGTTAGCTTGCGTGCGAAGTAGTTCACTGTCGCTGCCCCGACCGCCTTGTCAGAGCATATTAGCTCTCGGAGGAGAGTTTGAATGAATCCTCCGTCGAAGGTGGACCATGTGGTTTTGAATATATCCGAAGGAGAGATCTGATTCAGTGTCTGGGACCGAGCAACCCCATTCTGTAGGTCTAAGGCAATGTCATCCAGGTACGCGGCAAGCCTGGTTGAGGTTGAAGGACCGGAAGTAGACAGATCAGCAGAAAGCTCCCTAACTTCGCTACCATCACGCAAATCACGCGTGGCAGATGTCGGCCCATTCAAGCCTTGGGAATGGGTATTGTTCACGCTAGCAACAGGAGTCTCCAAGCCTGTAGGCATCTCAGGACGGGTCATGGTATTGGACCCGGCCAACCATTCCTCCCACGAACCGGGTGAGGCGTGCGAATGTAAGTCCAAGTTCATATTCAAACCTGACTGGGGAGTCAATTGTGGCACGAACAAATGATCATCCTCTGGCACGAATGTGTTCAGGCCCGTGTTCGCCCCCATACTCTCAGCAGTATCCATCATTGTCCCGAGATCCTGGAATTGAAGCCCCTGAGGCACGAACCCTTGAGGCACCAGGTCTAGATCATTATTTGGCATTCCTCCGAAAAAGTCTTCTGGAAAGATAGCCGCAAGGTGGCAAGGTGAAATAGTCATGTTGAGGACATCTGTTTCCGCGGGGCTCGGCTGAAGACTATTCAATCGAGAGCTCTCAGTGACCGCGGTAGTGTCCTTCACGCCATCCCTCACCATAGACGATGAGCGTTCGGGCGACGGCATAAACTCATTATGGTAACTAGTCGAGGGCATCGATGGAGATGGCGACAGATCATCTGCATCATTGGGGCGAAGTAGGCTAGCGAAATATTTAACAATGTGGCGATTATTCGTTGGCCGACCAACATTAAACAGCTCAACCTATATGGCACTTAGTCTGAGACCACTCAAATACGATGGCTTAACTGTTACCAAAGATCTGTCCACATCTCCCCGACTGCCCCCGTTTTCCTTCCATTCATCCAGAGCTCGATTAACAGCCCGCTGCAATTAGATTAGCATGGATACGACCATGTTGCACAGATATAACTGACTGTTTTGGCTTCGATTTCTTGCTTGAGTTCAGCCTGCATCGTCTCGTAAGGATTCGAAGTCTCGTTTTGATAAAGAGGGCCCAGTACCTGATATTTCTAAGCTCGACCTGAACCAACAGTCGCATCTGTCGAACGGGATAGGTGATGGCCAGGGGAATCAATACGCCACAGTGTTGGTGACCCAGAGGTATGGTTCATCACGCAAAACTTGCTAACCCCTGTCAACCCCCCTCAAATAGTGCCAACTCTCCCATCGGTAATCCCCCTATCGACCAGGTCTCCTGCGGTTCTAGTTTGAAGGTGCCGTGTCTGATGACACTGATAGAAGATATACAGTATCAGCACCTTCAATTGTCATATATATCACCTTTCAGTGACCTTTGGCATCTAGAGAATTAATTCCAGTACAAAGGCTTCAAGCCAAGAGTTAATGTGGACAGTTGAATCAAAGAGAAGCGGACCGGTGAGTTGATAATGTATGAGCTGCTCAGATACAGTATCAGTCTAATGCCTCTCAGGCCCCTAACATGACCAGCCCCATACCGTCTCGAGACCAGGATCCTTGGCTTGTCCAGCTGACCGAACAAATGTATTCCTACTGGGCCGACTGCCAGAATCTCCGCAATTATACCCAACTACTCCAAGCGCAGCTTGATTGCAGCCACAGGGAATTGGCGAGATGCCACCAAAACTATATTATGGAATATCACAAGCGTGCCCAGGCTGTGTCCGACTTAATGCAGCTACAGGACCAATTTCGACGTCTCAGTGAATGGCTCTCTGATGGGGCAGATAACTTACCAGTCCCGGTTCATCGTCTTTTAGAATTGGAGACCAGGAGTCGGTCGCTCAAGCAGGCGGAGATAAGGATCAGCCAGCGGGTACGCGCTTTGCAAGCAGCTTGCCAGGATCTTGAGAAAATTATTACAAAGTGATAAAGATTTCCAATCAGAGAGCATGGGCATTCCCAGTGGTTTTTGAACAGAAGTTCCAGGCCCATCGATTCTTCCTGAACTCTATCGGAGACCCACAGTAATCTAGGACACGGCACAAGGCTCTGGGGGAAGAAATAAAAAGTTTACATTCGGTGCCTATTCCAATACTTTCCAAGTTTTGTATACAGGGTGACAAAAAAGATGGATTATTACAACATCCGTTATATAATTGTGTAGAGAAGTTACCTTATGCTATATGAGTGCGATAGGCTTAGATGAAACGGACGCGCTTTCTGTAGCTAGAGTTCTCAAAATCTGGCCTAGCCTTCCTGCGAATCCGGAGTTCGCATGATTTGCATTCTGTGCGTGCCGGCAGCTTCGGTAATCCAGGGCAACCAATCATATTGATCCTAAGCCGATCGACTAGATGGCGCAGGGACAAGGGGAAACCACCTAACGGTTGTAATTGATGCGGGTGAAGCTCAAGGGCCAACATAATATTACTGTCTAGCCCATCAACTTCGAATTTGACAGGCACACAATATCTGGCGCAGTCGCAGCAAACTGCATCCTCAAAAGGCGAGACACCCAGCCGGGACGTCCCGAGGACAAAAGTTGAGGCTTGTGGATGGAGTCGGCGCAGTGCCTGGACCAAATATTTTCCCCGTAGCCGACCTCGGATGGCTCCGCAACACTGATAGATACCATCATTGTAGCAAGGAGGGGAGGAGAGTTCGAAGAAAAAGCTAGCAAGAAGCAAAGAGGTTAACGCTCCAGGCACTTGCCTTTCAGCAGTTTTATCAGCTAATTCCGTCATCCATTCCACCTGAGCGGCTGCGTTCAGGAGAGGCTCCTGATCAGGAAAGGTAACATTGAGACGGTGGTAATTGCGCCTGTTCGCGGGGTCCACCTGGCCAAGGAGATCTTCCCACGCTTGTTCCGCGTCCATTGACGCTAAGAACGAGTCATAAAGGCGGAAAGCAAACCCGCGGCGCCACCGTTGGCGGCGCGGTCTGCCGGCCTTACCGGTGCCCAATGAAATCAAGGTACCAGGCACTGGGTTTGACTCCCACATGAATGGCGTCTCAGCCCGACAGATCAAAGCTGGATTGTTGTGCTTGAGGCCGCCGTCCGCACAGCTCCCAACGCCAGGAATCTCAATCGGGGGGAGTAATCTGGCTTTTCTGTAAGCTCAATCCAAACTCTCTCGAATAGGAAACTGACCCTGGTGCTGCAGTCGTTGCTCTTCCACTATGACGGAGTCAGCTCCCTGCTTAGTTAAGTAATTGTTGACCTACCATTTCCATAACTGAGGCTCATGTTCCGGGTCTGGTGCTGTGTAGACCCGATAGTAACCACCCGAGTGGGCCAATGACGCAACCCCAGTGGTTTGCATCTCATGGTCCACGCAACGTTGTCCCGGGGGGTCGACCACCCGCCGGTAATTAATCAGCAGCACTGGCTGATCGGCCACGGCCGTCACAGCAACTTTAGTGCCCGAGACCGGCTGCACGTCAAACATGCCCTGGTCCACACCAAATTCCTTTTGCAATAGCCCATCCCATAGGCCTGCGTCATACCAACCGTCCTTCCACCAACAGAGGATGGTTCGGATAAGTTTATTCCAAGTTGTTCGTAGAGGGGGATGACCTTGAAAGAATCGCACTATAAGATCGGCTAATGTTTGCTGGCATTCGCTTATAGGTCGGCGTTGGCGGAATGCTTTCAGTACGGCAATCCCCCCTGTGTGCCATTAGTGATTAATTTACGATAAGAACTGTTATATGATCCTACCACCACTTGTCCCAAACGCTACATCGACCATGTCTTGAACAAGACACCCGGGGCCAAGAATCTTTTGCATATATCCCAGAAACCGCAGCGGCATGATAGCCCGGACGCCGCCTCCGTCGATAGTGATCGCTCGAACCGACGCTGTGGGTGGTAGCACTCTGATCAAGATATCAGTAGCCTTATGGCAAAGGGCGCAGTGGCGGACAGAGTACTCATACTCCGCCCCTTCCACTGGAGAACCGTACCACGCCGCACATACATCACAGTATGCATGGCCACATAGCAACGGGTGCTGGGGGGGTTTGCTAAGACATAGTAAGCAGGTGTGGCTACTAGCTATCATTCGGAACAGCCCACGTCGACGGGCGAGGCCCTCTTCATGGATTCGACGAGGGGGACCTTTTCCGAGTAGAAGGCGGGCTCTGAGGCTGGCAAAGTGATACTCAATTGGTTGGCAGCATGAGGAGAGCTCTGCCGATCTTAGAGCCTCCTGGCAGTGGTGACGATACAATGTATCAAAGACGGCAGCTGGACTAAAGACTACTCTGGTCAGTCTTACTTCTCATTAATATTAGCCTTGACTTACAGTGTGATCCAGGAGGATACGCATCAACAAGAAGAGTTGATGCGATATGGGACGCTTGGTCTTCCAAATTCCATCCTCTATCTCTAGTGACAATGAGGAAGTCTCGCAGGTGAAATCTGTGGGATTGGCCCACTTCAATTCCAGCTCGTGCACCCCTGACGAAATCGAAGGGTGCTTGGGGTGCCCGGCAGACATGATTCAAAGCAGTCTGAAAGAAAAAAGCCATATGCATCACTGAAAAGAGGTATCCCTGCTCTTTCCTATCTCGTCGGCTAATATCGGCAAGTTTGAGTAGGTCATTTTTCAGCGAACAATGTTGGGCTATATCAGATAGCGCCTGGCCGGGCAAGCGGTGTAGAGTGGGCGTTACGAAAACCTCAGTAACATTGAGGTTCTGTCCGAGCACAAAGTCAAAGTCCATTTCGTCTAGAGTTTCGTATGTAGGGCTGTTATGATCAGTCTCCATAACAACCAACACACGCGGTCGGTATTCTAAGCTGGACGCATTATGGCCCACCATTGCCCACCTTATTAGTAGGTCCCGAACAGCATCCAGACCACCCAAATCATCAGCGAATATACAGATTACGTCTGTGAACATGAACATAGCACGGCAGAGAATGATATCTGAGGCATGATGGAGATCAATAAGTGGCCAGCGTAGTGGTATCTCCTCATATTCTCTGGGTATGCGGTCGGTCTTATGAAATTCAAGTTTGGCATCACAATGAGAAAAAAGCAGTGGGTGGTCTGCGAAGGTTGTGCGACTGTCAACGTCTAATTGGATGTACGGTTGTCTTTGAGACAATGTATTGTCTGGAAACAACGCACGGAGGGCAACATCCTTCTTTCTGTTGCCTAGGAAGACTATAAGTGAAGGGCACTGAGTCTGGGGGGAGGCAAGCTGGTCTCTAATCTGAACAAGGCGTCTGCTATGGTGTACATAGGCCCCCCCATGGCGCTCAGCAGGCTGTAACCATCTATGGCTCAACCGATCAGACATATTGACTTGTTTGGAGACCTCTACGGATATGGGATATGTTTGTTGATTTTATATGCGCGAGACGATCATTTTGGACTTCTGACCTGATTACCTCCGGACTTACCTTGGTCAGCTTTGATCTACAAGGCTTTTGAGCAGGGCTACAGTACTACTATTGACGGAGTCCAAAGTCCAACATCATTGCATATTTGTGAAACGGTAAAACTAAACTATATAACAACACTTAGTACAAAATGTGAATCATAGCATCACAGCGCTGGCTTCATTTCGCGGAGGCACCCAAGCCTGTGGGCGTGCCTGCAGCACCTTTCCTTAAATGCGTAGGACGCAACTCAGATACAGTTAACAGCCTGTCAAACCCATCACTCAGGCAACTGAGGAGCACGCTTTTAACATTGTAAGCCCTCTCCAGCTCTTCAAGGTCTCTCTCTGTCCCTTTCAGCCGTGCCCGTAGTGCGTCGCATTCCTCTTGCAGCATTTTCACCTTCTCCCGGTCATTCTCCCCGCACAAGTCGATAGCCCCAGGATGCTGGCGTACACCCATCGGCAGATGCTCCGGGGTGTCATGGAGCTGCTGGATGATTTGATTGAACTCCTCAGCAGTATATTGCGGAGAAGTATTATCTCGTAAACAGCCACAAAGATCGCAGGCCTGCTGTAGAGTCAGCAGACCAAATATCATGAATTTATGCGAGGACGTACATCTGTAGTAGTAGACATAGAGGTGTTGAACTCTGTTTCGGTATCCATTGTTTTGCCGCTTGTGTGCCAACTACATCCATCATGGAGCGGGACATGATTTATATCATAAAATGTCTTTCTCCACCCAGGGCTTTAACAACATTATGTGGTGTGGCGTCACGATAAAGTTGCTTCGTATGCCGATGGCCATAAATATATCATGGCGTTAGAGCCTTCTAACATAAGGTCTATCTACAATCTCGAAGCCATGCAGGCGAATTCAACTGCTAGAGACCGTAGTCCGTCGGTGTATTCTCGCTCGGGAAACGCGTCTCCGAGTCGCCCATCCACGCCCAGCTCCTTTGAATGTTTTCTTACATTACAAGGTGGTCGCAGCTCCGCATTGGAGGCATTGCCGTCGACTATCCAACAAGCCAAACAGAAGCCCCTGACAGAAAGTGAAGAGTATCAGAGGGCGATTTTTGACGCATCTTTTCTCAAGGCTGAGAATGAGTGGCTTCGCCGATCGCGAAAGTCGGCAGCGGCGCTTCACGAGGGCACGGTTGTACCATCAGCAGAACTGCTCAATCTCAGTGCGAATGACATCCAGGAAGCCCTCACATGTTTTCACATTGGCTTTGCTGCTGCAGAACAATTAATTCACCGCTCCAGGCACTCTGCAGCAGCTGATGTCGCAATCACTTTACAAGAGCTGATCCCCGCCTTCGAACAATGTCGAAGGGGATTGGACAGCTTACGCACTGCTGCGGCGAACCTTGAAGAGGGAGGAAGGACATTTTCTGCACAGATCCAGAAATCGAATCGCAGCTACGCTGAATTCTTTGGTATCAACTACGATCAAAGCATCGCGCCGGCTGCCGGACCGCGGACAAGGAGGACTAGGTGATGGTCGCAGTTGCAGAAGTTGATGTATGGTAAAGGCTTCAGTTATGGGTGACGCTAGGAACTAGCATTCTGGGCTTTATATTCTGAATTACAGTAAATTTAAACCATGCTGCACGTATAATTTCATCCTCTTGCTCTCATCATGTCTATGATCTGCAATTCGTTGGCCCACACAGGGCTACCGTTTGTCGATTAAGCAGTTGATTCCAAAGCCAGACCTGCAGTACCAAATCTTGGCTAATGGCAAATAATAAGTGCCTTTGGATATATATACGTTATTCAGAGTGAGTTTAATAGCCGAATGGGGGATCTTAATAGACGTTATTGAATAAATGCTAAGAGAAACGGGGAAATGGGATTCTAGTTGACAACCATGTTTCAACGCTGCGTTGCAGTTGCTGCTCCCCATTCGACTTCCGCAGGAACTTGTGCTAATGAAAGTCAGTACTTCTCTCTCCTCATTGGCTTGTGGCTCTACCTGAAGAAGAGCAGATGCAGGCTGCTTGTTATGTAGAGCTTGACGAAAGTCTTTTAGTTCAGCATCGTCAGATTCATGACCCTCAATGAGCCTTCCCACTATGGACTCAAAAGCTTCGATATCTTTAGTATATTCCTGGTCAGACTGGAGTAAGCAGTCTCCGATATTTGCTTTGACTGTGTTAGTTCATTGTATGCTGACATCCAGAGGACGCTTCCCTACCAATCTTGATTGTACCTGTCCAGTGTAGACGAATAGTGTCCAGGGATAGATTACCATGTGATATACCCAGAGGTCCATGCATGTATTTCAGAGCACACAATATACCGTGACAGACTGCTGCGGTGTCGGCGAGGTCCCAATAAGGCCGAAAGCCCAGAATATCTTTTAACGAAGCAACACTCATCTCATAGACCATGAATATAGACTTTTCTTTGGTGTAGATATGCTGCAGATGTAAAAGATTACGGTGAGGTGCCGATCTTAATTGGAAGACCCTCTCTGATGAGGAGCATGCCTCCTTGACAAGAACGGAGGAGAAAGGATAATCCTTCATCATTGCATAATGATACCCGTTCTTAATTGGCGTCACCGAAGTATAACGATCCCAAATATCGACTTCATGTTGCTTGAACGAAATATCCTCAGGACATGCGGAATTGGACGGGAGGATGGAAAGATTCTTAGGCAATTTCCTTAATCGAGACTCGGCGGCTTCGCTAGCCTTTCTGCGCTTGTTCATTGCGTTCGGTCTGTAGCTAGTATATTTTATAGTGGAAGAGCAAAATGAATGTGGCACAGCTACTATTACACCGATCGATGTCGAGGACATAGTTGTATAGATACAACTTGGCCTTACAATTAACCACAAGGTTGCCCTGTAGTAGGAGTTATGTGGATGATATGGATGCTGGAAGTACCCGTGGGTATACCCAGCTGGGTACTCGCCTTGGCGCCTAGATTATTCCATACTCGAACTGACTAGGGTCTTCAGTAAAAGTGCCAAGAAAGTACCCTCGTGGGTATACCCACGGGGTATACCCAGCTGGGTACTCCAGAAAAGGCGTTCCTACCACGATTTAGGTACTGCCACATTCGATATCAGATTCTCCGTTAACTCAAAACAATTTCTCTAACCTTATCCGAAGAAGCGCTAGTATGTATTTGGATTAGCCGCAGATCATCGATTGTAAATGTTACAATCACCGTTCGTAATTATGTGAAACATGGTGCCTATCCTAGCTATCTTTATGCCCGGGGACGAAAGTACCATAAATGAATAGAGACCATATTCGTGGACAAGCCACGATCCGCAGCTAAACTGAATATGGACTAGCACTTCTTCGGAGAGGGTTAGAAAATTACTCTCTGAGTAAATGAAGGGGAATCTGATTTCGAATATGGCAGTATGAAACGCAAGCTTCAATTAAATCTCTATTCCCACTAAGTCGCGCGCCTATACTAACCATGCCGAGATGGAGTAAATTTGTTCCAAAAATGCAACCAAACATATACAGTACTGACTGATGGACTCTTGGGCTTGTAAGATGGCTACTTTTAACATTGTACAGTATAGCGCTCAGTACGGAGTATAGTAGTCAACATCATTCTGGTCCTAGATGTCTTGACGCTGTATACGCGGTAGTAGAAACAGTGTACGGCTCTCACCATTTATGACTGTTTCCTACAGTATGTACAGTACTGTCTCTACCAAGGCGCTAATCTATACAGGGACTCACTGTTCTGACCATCTCAGAGCTGGAACAAAAGAGGCATCCAGGTTGCGTAATTTCGCAACCAGGTGTACCGTTGGTGGCTAAAGCAGTTTCACCCCTAAGGATTCTTTTGTCTCCCACTCCCTATACCAAGCCATTGTTAGTATTAAACAGAAATGTACCCGAATCAACGATATTCCCTATTGCTACGAATAGCGCAATGTTGTATTAAACCACACCTGAATCATAGTAGTGTCACTCTACTTGAAAACAAGCAGGGTATTTCACAGAGAATATAGTTCTTCCGTGCATCCTACTTAGGGAAGGGTCTGGGAACAATTGGAAAGTATAGGCGGTAAAGCCTTACTGCGGGATTGTATCGAGATACTGTACACAGTCTGTGGAATGTGCCACGAGGTTACATACAGTATCTATAATGAGTGACTGTTTTCTTCTGGTTTCGCTCCATATCATGGACATTTGATGCAGAAAGAAACAGTCATAATGGCAGGAGCAGGTCTACTATACAAGATTTCATGAGACTAACATTACACATCAATCTTTATGCTTTATGTGATGTGAATAAACTCCCGGATGCCTAGGTTCATTATTGATTATCAAGACTGCACGAGTCAAAGCTCCAAATCTGTTACCCTCGCATGACTCCTGTGTCTTCGATCATCTGGAAAGAAACTGAATCTTAAATGAGTTTATCTCAACCAACGATAGTCGGGCATTGTCATCAGTTTTACCTGCTGCAGTCAGTAAATCTTGAAAGTGAAAGCTTAGCCACCCACCAATACCACAACTATCGCTGACTTCTCGCAGAAAGGAGTGGAAAAAAAAAAAAAAAAAAGAAGAACCTCGATACATACAGCCCACGGGTAGTTCCCCTGTCTTTCCGCCAATTGAGATAAAGGAAATGACGTAAATGCCAAGAATGTACCCGTGGGTATACCCGTGGGTACACCCGTGGGTACTTTCTTGGCATAGTACCCACGGGTAGTCCCCTTGCTTTTCGCCAATTAAGATTAAGAAAATGACGTAAGATGCCAAGAAAGTACCCACGGGTATACCCCGTGGGTATACCCCGTGGGTATACCCGT